ATCGAAACTTTGGAATGAAAAATACCAATGATAATTTCTGATTTTAATGGCATAAACAAAGAAGAGTTTCAAAGAGAAATATTCACGGTTTTACTTCCGTTTCTTCTTGAGCAGACGAAACCAAAAGGTAAAAGAGCAATCGCTTTGAACTTTTACAACTTACTGTAAAAAGCAGCCTCCAAAAGAAAATTCCAAACATTATAATTCTATTTCAGATTTTCCTTACCATTGCTGCAGGTATTACTTGTTGTGAAAGGAATTTTTCTGCAAATCGTTAAGAAGCACCTAGAAATTAAAAATGTGTATCTATCATTTAATAAATACTGTAATGTCTAGAGCAGTGGTTCTAAGTGTTGTTTTTCTCCTTGCACCCCGTTTCACCACTGTTAAATGGTCATTCATTCCCCCCCCTCCTTTTCAAAACTCCAAAAATATACATAAATTCATTTAAATTTAGATTATTTTTCATAAACTGTATTTTATAAATTAAACAAGGAAAATGTGTTTTATAAATTAAACAAGATATTGAAAATAGTGTTACTAAATGCCAAAGCCTAAATAAAAATAGTTTTTTATATTAATAAACTAAAACTAAATACTTAATAGGTAAGTAAAAGGCTGACTGCATTCCTCCCTGAAACAACGAAATTCCCCCCCCCTCCCTCTTGGTTGACAACCTCTGGTCTACAGCAGGGTTTCTTAATTTTTTTTTCAGTCGTGACCCCTTTTTTATCAATGAGATTTCTTCGCTATCCATAGGACCCCATAATATTTGCAAAAATTTTGTGGAACCCCATAAGTATTGTGCAAATCCGACACACGCGTGAGTGAAACTGTCCCTTTTTTCCACTTGTACTGTAATATACTATTGTACTTTTAGGTCATTAACTTTAGTTTCTAATTTTAAGACATATAACAGTGTGAAAATTTTGAATAAGTAACAGAAGAACAGAATAATGGAATAATGAAACAAACTTCCAGAATGTCATTGTCGACTTTTCATCTTCGGCTAATATAAAAACATGTAAAATATCACTTTAAATTTAATTTTAGAATAAAAGTTTTATTTCAATAATCCGCACAGTTTTTATTATTTCTTTATTTGTCGTTTTGACATTTTAGAGATTTGATATTTTGGTGTGGACTGAGAGGGGCGGCAAATCGACCGCCCCGAAAGCAACATCTCTAGCTGCGTTACAGTTACAGGGGCAAAACAGATTTTGATTTTCGAATAAGGACAGAAAGTTTTGGAGACCGAAGAAGTACAAAGTTCTAAGTGTTTCTCATCAAAGTTATAGATATTCCGAATATATAAATAAATAAAACAAACAATATATATAAATAAAACAATGAAAACACGCACACACAGACACACACCCACGCGCGCACACACACAAAAAGAATATCTAGGGACTGTCGTTCAAGTTAACCGTAATATCGAAACTGCCATTAAATTTTAAACACTGTGCAGTGGCTTATTTATAGCTAATTTTGGGTGGCGCAAATGCCACTATAACTGTAAAATTAGCGCTCCGCAATTTTTCTTATTTGCAATTTTGAAACTTTAAAATTTAATTTAGTCTATAAATCATATATACATTTGTATCAGATTATTCAACTGCACTATATGGTATACATCGAATTGCCTTTGTAGTATTATGTTATCAATAATGAAAGTTTAATAAAATGCCAATCAACAATATAAAAATGCTTACATTATTTGATCAGGTTATAAGGTATTTCTCTTGCCTTCTAGCATGCCTTCGTAGTGTAGTGGTCAGCAAGCTGGGTGCGTAATCCGGAGGTCCGTGGTTCGCTTCCCGGTGAGGACGTTGCTCATATTTCCTCACTTCTGCTTCGAAATAACCTAATGTCTCTACAGTGGCGCCCGAACTAAAAGGGTAGCGGATGGATGATGATTCTTCACACCCAGGATTTGGCGATTGGGTCCCCTAAACCCCAGTCGCCCTTTAATAGGGGGAGTATATAAGGTATTTCTCCCGCTTTCTTAGCATGCCTTCGTAGTGTAGTGGTCAGCAAGCTGGGTGCGTATTCCAGAGGCTCGTGGTTCGATTCCCGGCGAAAGGCGTTGCTCATTTTTCACTTCTCCTTCTTCCAAAAAATACCTAATGTCTCTACAAGGTCAAAGATATTCCTATAAAGATTTTCTCTATTTTATGTTTGTATATGCATACATATACATATATATATACAAAAAGAAACGTAATAAGAGGCTAAAATTAAAAGCAAATGTTTATACACGTCCTGCGCTACAGCTGCAGGATTATATTTATATGCATACAACAAATGTATCTATTTAAAAGCGTTTCACATGTACTATTTCGTAAATAATGTTTTAGAAGTTTTAGAGCAGGACACGATCTTCCGCAAATACATATAGTAAATGCTAATGCTATTAAAAATTTTAGAAAGTTTACATCTGTTAGGAAAACCTCTTTATAGCAAGCCTCTAAACCTTCCAGATAGAATATTTTCTTTTGTTGTAATATTCTTTGACAAAATTAATATTCAGCATTTAGAATGCCAATATTATAATCCAAAAAAATCACAAGAACCTATATTTAAAAGTATTTCGATTTTTCCTTCATATTCAGATTAGATAGGGAATTTATTCTTTTAGAAAATTAAAATATAAAAAAAAAAAATTCAATATTTCTTCATGTTTAAAGAAAGTAATTTAAAATTCAAAATCACTACTTTCCAAGAATTGATTAAAAAATGATATTCGAAAACAGGATGCAGTTATAATACTGAAACATCATGTCTGTTTGCTTGACGATCCTGGAAAAGAAATAAAAAATTTTTCTTCATTTATTTGCTTCAAACTTAGGTAGACTCTGAATAAATTGCACTGAAAAATTTTAAAGAATTATTATGAATTTCTTTTAGTTCTCTTAAAATGTCTTCACACAAATGAAATACAGCAGTGAGATTTATCGATTTGTAAAATCCTACTAGATGGCAACGTGTATGAGAATATTTTTTCAGTTCATTATAATGCAATCATAAAAACAGAACGTTTTAGTGAACTCAGTATATGAACTCAAAAGATGATTCCTTATTATACCAGTTCTTTATAATTTCTAATGCATGAACCAGAGAGGTTTTAGTAATTTCACCGTAACCACAAATTTGGGTAAACACTATTCATTTACCCAGAGCATCACACTTTCCAAAAATTCAGGTGAAACGTAAAAATTAAAATTTTGTACAGTAATTAAATAAGTAATTAAAAAAATTCTCAAGTTTATTAAGAAACCATAATTATCAATCATACGAGAGATAGGGCTGATGAGAAAATAATGATAGATCTTGATGTACGAAATTTTTAGCTAAAAATACACTAATTTAGGGTTTTTAAATTTACTTAAGTGCTAGTTCTCCGGATTTAAATTCAAATGAACATGTTTGAAATGCACTAAGAAGCCGATTTGCATCACTGGAGCCTTTACCTGGTACTCTTCAAGAGTTTCAAGGCACTTCATCGTGAAAGCACTTTGTTACCTCTGGAACACCGAAACAATCTAATACACATAATAGGAAATCGCTGAATTAATAAAGTGCATCAAAATAAATCAATGACTTCTGACTCCCATTACAATAGTAGGTGACCGCACTATTAATATTTTCTATGTGTCTCTTAAAATGCTTTTTGTTTCCCACTTTACATTTCCATGTTCTTATTTAATTTCTTTTCTGTTTTTTTTTTTTCAGAAATAGGCATTCTACAATTTGAAGATATGTTAGGCGAGACAAAATAAAAATTTCATACAATTTCCAGGTTCTATAGCTGAAAAATTATTAAAGTTACACAAGTTCTTATAGTTTTTCCTTTTACTAGGGCAATGAAAATATTTTTTAAATCTATGATATCATTAAACTGGATGTCATTAAATAAGAGTTGGATTGTAACTTCCATTTTTGAGTGCCAATGTACAGTGGTAATATGCATAAGGAAAATCTGTAATTTAACGGCTTTGTATCCAATCATTTTATAAATATCTATCTCTTCTTTTCCGCATAAACTAATCTAGATCCTGTAACTAATCTAGATCCTGATCTAGAACCTGGAAAATTCTCGCACAGGCGTGAAGTAAATACCAGCACAGAAGAAAGCTGAACCCTTAATTATTTCCAACTAATAACAAAAAGGCACGTACCTTTTATTAATTGTCTTTTTGTTATACGCGGACAACTTGTGGTGGAACTTAAAAGTTATAACAAAAACGAATTCAAGTGTAAATAGAATAGTGCTGGATTAGCACGTTAAGTTAGGTTGACACAACAAACCTAACAGGCGTGACAATTATTTGAAATGGCCGAGAGGTGTATTAGCTTAACAGGGAGATCAGCAACGAAAACGTATGCTGGTTAAAAACATGCTCTGAATAAATTCTCAGATTCACCCGTTTAAATGCTCACTTCACTTAACTTTAAATTTACATCCAGGCAAGGAAATGCGAGGGGAAGTTGAGTAGTTCAGGAAAGATAAGAAAAATTTGAATAAAAGGTTAGTTAATTAAAGGAAACCCTACAATTTCTCTCCCTGTATAAAATCTGAAGCTCAATACTTTTAATACCACATTTCTTCAACTATACGATGCAACCTTTTCTTATATAAATGTCGGTAAAAATAGGATGCATCGTAGAAGCGATGTGTCCTGAAATTTCAATTTTTATTTAAATATTATTTTTTTAAATTATTAATTTAAACAGGACTTTTGTTGTTTTAACAAAATGAAGTCAAATATTAATGAAAATTTGCTGGGATATAATTTAACTTTCTATTTCATTCCTTTAATTTCCTTAGAATAAAATATCTTTTTATCTGTTGGGGATTTTTGAAATAAGGGTAAAAAAAATTCAGTCGGAACCTTTTTAGAATCTAAAAAACACAATGCTCTGGATGAATTTTGTTTAAGTGCCTTGCATGTACTTAATGCACGGAAACAAAAACAAATTTGAGATAAATTCTTTTAATAAATTTGAGATATTTTTAAAATTACAAAAACTAAACATTTGTAACTAAAGTAAATTTGCCTTTAAGGATAATGCCTATTCTTCAGAAATTGTCCTTGAAAGTTTTAGTCTGCTTAGCATTTTAGGAGGATCGTGACTTAATAATTTTAATCTTCCATCTTCAGTCTCTCCAACACTTGAAAACTAGTGGAAACGAAATCGTAAATTCGATCCAGCTGGCTTGAAACGCTACTGATATCTTCATCGGGTTTCGGGGGTCTCATCTGGCAAGCAGTATCATAAAGTTTAGAAATCCATCTTTCGGTGTCGAACCTCTTGGCTTCTTCCCTTATTTTAGCTGCCTCCATCTGCAAGAAATAATGAATCAGATCCACATATGTTTCATTTTTAATAACATTCCTACCAACTAATTTCGTGGCTTTCGGTAGAAAGTCAACACATTCTAATGTTTTGCACTGGCTTTGCCTGGAAGCTTTGCCTGGAAGCATGCAGCTGCGAAAAGCTGGAATTCAATATTGCACGTTTTTATTTTAATCTTCGACCCAAAGGATTAATAACGTAATATAAGAGATATTAAATACTTCATACGCTTTTGTTAATGTTCTTACTTTTCACGTAAAATTGAGTGGAAGTTTCCAGACTCGGAGAATGCATACAATCCGCGGACAACAGTCTACGCACAGTACACGAGTTATCAATACTTTCACTTATTCTTTCTCGGAAAGCTCATAATAGCTCTTGACATAATACGCATAGACTTACGCAAATCAAAATTATTACTAACTAAGCAGTTTACGTAACAAATTCGAAGTTTCTATGCACACACTTAAGTGCCATTGAGTTTCCTTCCCCAGATTGGGTAGAAAGCCCATTAACTAAGCGATAAGTTTTAAAAATTATGTTTGATATTTTTAACACAACATATTCTAAGTACCTGATCTGAAGTATAATTTACCGTTTGCATCATCAAGCAAGTGGATGCACAAATACATACATGAACTGCATTTTTCGTACGGATAAACACTTGAACTGCAAGGCAAAAATGCTTGGGCGAATAGCACACGGTTCAATATATCTTTCTTATACTCTTTCCAGAAAATAAAGCATCCTGAACTTCGGGACTTTAGCGTATCCTTCGGGAATTGTCCAGTTGGCCATGGCTTACAGGAGCGTATAAAGCTCGATTTACACTAGAGCGGCCACGCGTTATTATGAAAAGCGGTAACCAATAGGAAGCGAGTTAGGGCGCGGCAGTTTTCTAACTACTGGAGTCTTTTTACTGTTCCCCAAATTTCTGCTATATGTGTTTTGGTTATTCTACTTTCCCCGTGTCGCAGTGTTAAAAGAACCAACTTAGATTTGCTCTGTTTACCCTCTGATTATTCTTTTATTTAACAGTTATTATGTTTGTGATTGTTTTCCTTTTACTTTTATGATTAGTCCTTTTAGATAGTTTATCATACTATGTATTTTTTATTTTTTAAGCAGCAAATATCGAGCTTTTAAAAACAGTGAGCAGTAGAAATGTCTGTACATTTACGAAATGTCGTATATTGGGAATGCTAAAAGCAAGAACTCTGTTGTTAGAAAGAAAGGCTTGGAAGAGTGAAATTAAAGTTCAATATATTTTTTACTGTTTTGCGATCGGTATCCGGACATAATCCCGACAGCCGAAATCCCGACAAGCCAGAAACCCGACAAGCCAAAATCCCGACAGGGTCGAAATCCCGATTGTCCAATATCCCGACAGGGTCAAAATACTGACACGGGCGAAATCCCAATAAGGCCTAATGACCCCTTAACATACTTCCACAGCTGCAACTAGTATATGCTTTGATGACTAGCAAATCTGAAGAAAATTACAAAAGATTATTCCAAATTTAATTGATTTCGCTGAAGAAAATAATATTGAACTGAGGCCATCTAGAATCATTATTGATCTAGAAAAGACAGCTGTAAATGCTCTGCGCACTCAAAATGCTGTCGAGGATTGGCACAGAAGATGGGAGACCTTAATTGGACGGCCATGTTGGCGTTTATAACATCATAGAGAATTTTAAAAGGGAAATACCAAGTTGCTTCATTTCTTCGCGGAGAACACAACCAAAACATAGGAAGGTAGATGATGACAGAGAAAGGAGAATTATGACTGTCGCGACGATCGTGATAATCGACCCTGTGATGGAAACTATCTTCGTGCTATCGCTCACAATGTGTCACTGTAACTATGTCGTTTGCATGTGTAAGTGATGTTTTCTTTTTCTTAAAAAAAAGAATTTTATAAATCATTTCAAATTTTAACGGTCATTTCAATTTCTCAAAAATTATTTTAAGTAATGACATAATTTTTATGATTTTTTCATTTAAACTTTAATTAGTAATATGTAATAGTTAGTTTAAAATTGTATTTTATAAGCTAAATTGAGGTTTTTAGATATTAACTTGTCGGGATTTTGAACAGTCGGGATTTCGACCCTGTCGGGATTCTGGACACTCGGGATTCTAGACACTCGGGATTCTGACCCTGTCGGGATTCTGGCTTGTCGGGATTTTGACCCTGTCGGGATTTTGACCGTGTCGGGACTTTGGGTTGTCGGGATTTCGGCCCTGTCGGGGTTTTGGACAGTCGGGATCCCGACTGTCGGGATTCTGGCTTGTCGGGATTTCGGCTGTCGGGATTATGACCCAGACCTTTGCGATCCTATGATTTCCTTATTGACAGAGATGAAAATGAAATGATCAAAGAGTAATATAGCAAAATTAATACAGGTAACTTTTAAGACAATGATAAAAATATTCCGACAAAAAATAAAGCGATGAGAGAAAATTGCGATATTAGAAGCGTGAAATATTTCATTATGAAAAATAAGAGAGTGCACATGATGTGGCTAAATAATAATTTTAGATTTTTAATGTTACCTCCTTCATTATTGTTTTTTGTTTATGTCTGCGATGTTGGGAATAAGGTAGGTACGGGGTGGACAGTTTATCCTCCTTTAGCTTCATTATAGGGCATGCAGGCAACTCGATTAATTTTCTTGTTTCAGTTATAAATAAAACCATGGAATGAAAAGTAAAAATTACAGCATAATAAATTATTGATAATAATAAACTAATATTTGAATTAATAAAGCGCATCAAAAGAAATCAATGAAATAGCCTTCTGACTTAGCTAAAAGCAGCTATTATAGTTTACGTAATATCTTAATGAAAATGAAAGTTCCGTTTTCATCAAAATGTAAGTATTCGAATAATAATTAAAATAACGTACTTATAGAACAAATCTTATTTATCAAACAGACAGACCAAAAATAAATAATTAGTCTGCTTGCAAATAGGGCCGGTTTAACGGCTGCAACAGCTGCAGTTACATAGGCCTAAAACCTGACAGGGGACTAAATCATGTTTCACATTAGATAATTTTTTGCACATTTATTGCAGATCTGCATAAAACCGATTACAAATTAAGTTGCGACTTTTGTGAGAAAAATGAAAGACTGCAGAATAGGACCACTATAGTATAGCAAATCTAACTAAAAATTTAATAAATCGAAACATCAATGCCATGACGATTTGGCTGCAGGCAGTTCTCTGGGTAGACGCCTAATAATATCTATGTCATTTCTTCTGGTCTGGAATGTCTTGATATTTAATAATTGTGGAGAATAATTAATTTTTAATAACATCGGAATTAATATTTAATAACATCGGAGAGTGTTGGGGGTTACTGCCATTATCACAAATGAGGTATGAAAGGTATGCCTGACAAAAATCGTTGGAGATTAGAATTCTTACCACCATGCAAGAACATTAGGGGATTCTTAGATGTCCTATCTCATACATGATGAAACACCCATTTCAAAAAAGGGATAATTGTTCCCATTGATCAGTAGAAAATATCTGGATGTCGAGTTCTGTGTTCTAGTCTTGTTATATAACTGATTTCACATGTCTGTTCTATTTTACAGAAAATATTAAGAAAATGAAACAGACACTTCAAAACCAAGGTTGTGGTCTAAGTCAGTAACGCGATCCACTAAACGAGTATGTCGTAACTTTTGCGAATTTTGCACTTACGGGTAAGGAACTTTATATTTAACTAATTAAAATGTATTAAATATTTATTTAATTAGAAATTTGGTCCGAAGGGAGTTATATGAAGAGTTATACTTTATTACGTGTGATAATTATTTACATTACCATTCATTAATGTTCGAGCATTAAATCCAGAGGTAAGTGATGATGCGGTTCGTTATTAACACGCATAAATTTATTTACATATAATACCAATGGCTACAAACAGAATTATTATGCACACGCCTTCGGTATTATTATAGGCTTAACACATTAGCTCTTCCAAAACTAAAGTTCAGAGACAAGGCGCTCGGAGCGCCACCTAACGGCGCGAGCTATCAATTCATAACACTACGCACGCACCAAATCCGATTCATTTTGCAAAAGTTATTTTCATAAAATTACATGTTTTTTTTTTTTTTTTTTTTGAAAATGTTTTCAATTCGATGCATATTGCGACTATATTTAAGAAATAATATTTAAGAAAATAAGCCAGTAGAGCAAGGACTTTTAATTATAAGTAACATTTTCGAGGATATTTAATTATAAGCTAAGTTTCTAGGATATTTAATTAGAAGTTATTATAATTATATTAATTTCATTATTATAATCTCCAATGAGGTGAAAATTGATATTCAGTCTGTAAAACTGTCTGATATTAAAAATAATGTAAGAAGTGTCTTTAGAAAAACTGGCAACGTATGTACAGAACATACATACCAGATGTATTTAAATACTTTTTTTCCTTGAAATTGAGGCTAGAACGTAAATGAGAATTTACAAAGCAGTTGTTTAATGGCTAGGCCATTTGATGCTATGGCAGCTGGCCATTTAATGCTAAGCTAGTGTATAAATTAAATGAATTGAACGAGAAATGCTTATTAATTTCAATCTTTTGTACATATTTAATATTATTCAGTCCTGTCACTATTAGACACTAAAGCTCTCTAACAGACATACAGCATAAAAATTTTAAAAAAAAATCTGAAAGGTTTCAGGTTTTAAATTACGTCCAAAGGTGCGTTTAACATTTGATGTTATTAATTATAGATTAAATATAAATTCACAGCCCAACTAGAAAATCAGATAAATTTCATACAGAATATTTATAGCGCGCGCGCATGTTTTTAAACGATTTTTCGCACATATTTAAAATAAAAAGTTTTGCTTTGCGCTCGCGTACAGCGAGGAAAGATCGTTTACTTGAAATTTGTATGAAAATTGTGATTGAAATTCTGAAATTTTAGCGAATTTTTCGAAAATCTCTCCAATGTTTTCGAAACACACTTTTAAGGTTATGATGTTTTTACGTTACATATTGCTTCTGCTTTGCATTTACTAGTTATTTCTATTTATTAATCCAAAGAACTCTGAATTTAGAATACTATGAGTTTAAACTTGATTAGTTTCCCAAAGTTTCTTATTAATGTTTATCTCGTGCTTTTGTTTCAATAAAGTGTCAATTATATCCTGATTGTCTGGAGGGATTATTATGGATTATTAAGGCTGAAGAGGTCAATAAGAATTATTAAGGCTGGAGGGATGGCTCACAAGAGCATTTTTATACACCGAAAATAAACTACAAACACTTTTAACGATAATTGAGGGATAGCTTAAAATAGCATAGATTAAAAAGGCAGAGTAATAAAATAAATCCAAAAATTATTAAAAATAGAATAGTTTGAAAAATTTCTTTTCAGAATAATATTTTCCCAAAGAATATTAGTTTCTACGAAAGAAGCTAGTGATTATCTTGGTAGTTTCTGATACTGGAAATTATTTAAATGAACAGACTTTACTCAAAATAACAACCTGTTGCTGCAGCTTCAGGATTTGATCTCGAACATTCTTAGTAGCGGATTGCAGCTTTTGAATTTCGGTTTCTTTAGCAGCTATGTCCAATGGATGGCTTTTACTCAGCTCCACAAGCTTTTCTCTTTCTTCCTTAAGCAACGTCTCTTCTAATTGGCATTTTTCATCTTCATTTAAGAGATCTTGTTGCAGGATCTCAAGGACAAGGTAATAATTTACCAGTTGTTTCACACTATGATAGTCCGATGAATCTTCAAAGAAAGTTTTATTTGAAATTAAATTAGAAAACCTACTTAAAAACTGAGAAATATCAGTTTAGACTTGGAAAAGATGGTTTATCTGGAATAAATACAACACAGTAATTATGATTCACTATTTGAACAAAAGGAAATTTCGTTCCAGTATTTATATGTGCTATTTACGACAAACATCAGCATTAAGATCATGATTAAGTTGTTAGATTATAATGAATGATGTGAATAATATAATTAGAAATTTCTTCCCCCTTTTGTTTGCTGGTTGATTGCCGTATTTTTGATGTAGACCATGGTATTTTGCGAATATAGAAAGGTTTCGTTTACTGTTACCCGTAATTCAACATACCATATTTTCCAGTCTCCTTGGCACTATAAACTCACCTAGCATGGTAAATAATCAATAACTAATCACACTCAAAGTACATTTATAGAAAGGTTGAAAATGTATTTCTGAAAATTTGCTAGCGTGTGTAATTATCTCCCAGTCGTCCATTCCTCTTTCTTTTTATTCTCTATTCATCCATTCCTCATTCCAAGTCATCCATTCCTCTTTCTTTTTATCCTAATATAACTAGTCCAACTAACTTAACATTACATTTTTCTAATTGGAATTTTTCAAAGTAGTTTAGTCTTGTACAGCAGGCGTGTTCAAATTACATTTTAACGCACATGCTTCATTTTATTCTCGTTTCACTGGCGTCCAGCAATGGCTGCTGAGTAATAAAGATACCTGAATGCTAATAATTCTATGTGGCCTAGAACTCAAGCAAATGGGCTGGTTGCATGAATGGTTTTTGTGGTTTTCTCCATGTGTAACACGAATACGAGCTTTCTCTTAGAAAGTGCTCTACGATAGCATCCCTTTTTTTTTTTTTTTTTCGTGTGCTTTTTTTTTTTTTTTAACTTTTTTTTTTTTTTTTTTTTATTTTTTTTTTTTTTTTTTTTTAAACGTTCTTGTTTAATGGCAAAAAAATTTTTTATTATGACAAGGAAAGGAGGGAAGTGAATTTCAAGGTGGGAGATAAATTCCCGAAAATTCAAAAACCTCTTTCGTATGTCCCAAAAGGAAAGGTTGAGATGTTTTGTAATAAATTTATAAGGTATTTCTCCCGCTTTCATGATGTATCCGAGAGGCCCGAGGTTCAATGCCTGGCGAGGGCACTGGTCATTTTTCAAGTCTCTTGCTTCCAAAAACTCCTAATGACTCTACAGCCTCTATTATTTTACTTTAAAATTCGGAAGCTTTTAAAACCTAGTTCATAAATATTCAAGATATGGTCAGAGTATTGCACATTTTTCATCTCTCCTGCTTCGAAGCAACCTAATGTCTCTACAGTGGCGCCGAGCTGAAGAAGGCTAACGGTGGATGATGGTGGATGATGATTCTCCAAACCAGGATTTAGCCACTGGGTCCGTTAATCCCCAGTTGCACTTTAAAATGGGGAGTATATAAAGTATTTCTCCCGTTTAGTATGCCTCCGTGGTTTAATGGCCAGCACACTCAGCGCGTATTCGAGAGGTCCGAGGTTCGAGCCCCGGCGAGGGCCCTACTCATTTTTCATGTCTCCTGCATCAGATAAAAGCCTAATGTCTCTACAAGTTCGAAGGCCTGTTTTGCGAGAACTCAGCAAGTAGTGGTATTTTTGAAAAGCCAACATATGAATGTGAGCAAACGAATGTAATCGAGATCAAGTGATATTATGAGTGCGCTGATATGCCAGTGTTAAGAGACGCTTTGGGGGAATTACCAAGCCTGAGTAATGAAGGGCCAGCAGAGAATGCGGCGGATACAGCGTCGAAGACCAGAATACAAGACCCGCAAAGAGAAACAAAGGATGCCGAAAATGGTGAAAAGAAAAGAAAAAGCTGAAGTTCGAAGTATTTGACTTAAGAGTTAGCTTCTGGTAAGTTCTTATAATGTATATATGATCTCAATAAGACTTAGTTTAATTTTAGTTCATGTATTGATTCTCTGATATTTGAGTATTGCTTTTTTGATGTACATTCTCATTTAACAAGACACAAGTTACTTAGCACAGAAATTTAAAGTACAGACTGTAAATAGATTAAATTTCGGCAATTAAATTCGGCTTGTGGAACACCGAAGGATTTTTGAAGAAGGAAATGTGAAAATTTAATTGTTCTTTCGTCACAATTCAAACCACTGATCTTTCGCTTGCTAGCTGGGTGTGCCAATCACTTACATCACCAGAACACATGCTGCAATCCCTTTTTTTCCTCTCTTCTGAAAGACGACTGGGAAAAAAAATTAGACTCAGTCGATCAAATCCAGATGGTGACTAGTTAATGTTTATCAGATTTTTAGTTCAGACGCCCCTAGACATTATTATGTTTCTTGGAATCGGAAATTAAAAAAGAAAGCTATCTGCTCTCTGAATCATGGATCTTCCAGTTGTTAGCCCGTCGAGTTAGCAACGGCAAAATCACTTACAACACGAGAACACGTATTACAAGTTGGCCCATGGTACATCGCTAGTATCCCTGATATACGTGATTTTTACGTACCAGTATGTTTATGGTACGGAGAAATGTGATAATTGTTTACAAGCTAGTAAACAGCAATTAGTTTTCATATACTTCTGATAATACTAAATTAATTCATTTTCTAAACTGAGCGGTCTTTTTGACTTGGTGTAGAGAAGCTGGCTGCTATAGCTTTGAATCTAGGTTTGTACTTCACACAACACATGAATGTTGGATATTTGTAAGAGGGCAGTGTCTTTGCGGTATGAGGGTACTTAAAGTACAATCGAATTGAAAACCTTTGGGGATGAAGAGACCCTTAGATGCATGTTCCGCCCTGTTCTCTTTTAAAATTTAGCCAGTTTCCTTTTCGAGGGTATGAAATCGGTTGGTTACCGCTTATGATGCACCGCAGGTAGCCAATGAGTAATTTCCAACGAATGCTTGACCAGCAAGTATCCGTCCATTAAAGAAATTTTTTTTATCTAAGTTGAGGAAAATATGTGCATGCTCAAGGCTCACCAGACTTTTGTTCTCTTTTATGACAGACAGCCAAGAGAAAAACGTTTGCGATTTGAACCATCCTGATAAAAATTAATAATTAAAAAATGATCCATATGCGGAATCGCGTACTAAGATTTCGTCTTTAATGTACAATTTACATATTGCGATTATCGTTTGTAACTGTTTTAAGTTAATACCATGCGACTGAGTACAAAGCATCTTTTTACCAAAGGTGACCAGATCTCAATGTCGAACTGATTAACTATCTGCATGTGTCCAAAATTTAAGAGATTCTTTTCATGGCATATCTGTAAAGCTTAATTTGAACGAGTGGGAAGAACTATTTCAAAACTACAACTCCTAAAATCTCAAACTGTACGTTGAAGTAAGTAATAATAAACTGCAAGAAACGGTGTAACTTGAGTACATTTGGCAGGAATAGAGTTCTGAAAGTTAAATAGAGCATTTTTTCTCAGCTGAGGGAAGTAAAATGACGACAATGAAACAAGTGGCTACGTAAGAACAACAAAAGGATATTCGAGAAAATTTAGCTAAATGGTAAAGAAACGAAACCATTGGCTCCTTTCAGGTTTGTTTACGATACGCCGATTTATTGCCTCTTATTAGTAGGTCTAAACTCTAATTTAAGTTTGATTTATTATTAGTAGCTCTTTGCAGCTTTCATTTGATCATATTTTTAGGTACTTGCGTATTAAAGCAACCACCTTAATAGAAGTCACCAAACTTTCAGAATCTACGAAATTCTAGCAACTATGTTCATAACTATTCTTCAGGCAACCATGCTCACACCATTCCTTCATTCAAGCAACCTCGCCATTTTCGTATGATATTTTTTATGGTATTTTATGTCCCAGTGGTTTTCATAGACAAATGCTGATATTTTTTGGCCTAAATTCAGTTTTAAAATACGCACTTGTGGAATTTGTCAGCAATGGAGGAAACTGACATATTATTTCTGTAGCATCACAGAATTTTGCGGCAAAATCGCTAAAAGGAAAAATGATGTGATGCGCTTAGTAAATAACTAGCGTTGCCGAGTTTTGCGGGATTTAATTACCCGATGGTTTTAAAAGAGAAAATCGATCGCTGTGCACATGGAGAAAAGCAGCACTAAAAATTACAAAAAGATTTGGCGAAAAATTTAGATGTTTTGTTTTATTTCTTTGATGGTCCATTTCCGTTATGCCCTTGTTTTCGAATTTCGGAATATATGTTCTTAATGGAAGAGTACTGTGTGTGTGCATAACTTAAAAGTGCCGCGTATGCGTGCACTATCTATTAATCATTCGTCACTCTTCTGTTATCAGGGCCGGATTCAGAAATGTATGTATGTATGCACGTAAAATATATACGTATGTGCATATATGCAAGCGTACATGAACACATACTTCCATACATATGCAAACATGCATACATTTCTGAATCCAGTCCCGATAACAGAAGAACACCAACAATCTTATAACTAGAAATCATTTACAATTAAAATCCCATCAAAATGCGTAGCAAGTGCGTAACGAAAATGTCCATAGTTTTTTAATGCTTCATACAATCCTAATTCAATAATTGAACTTTATATTTTAAAATGCTGTATATTTCCCTTTCATACGTTGATAATATTTGTACATTTACCATAAATAGCGACAGTTTGGGAATCTTTTTAAGAAAAGTCGTGAAAACTGCCAACTCGTATTCGAAAAGAAACTTTTATCTTTTCATCCATAAAAAACCTCCAGATAGCTCCAAGATGGTTGCGTTAATGCTTTTTATCACACTGAATAATGTTTAATAAATGTTTTAATTATGTTTCATTTAAGTACCCACTTTTTATTACACTGAATAATGTTTAATAAATGTTTTAAGTCTGGTGAAGGAATAAACAACTATAAGGCAGTAAAAAGAGATCTCACCGCAAAGTATCTCTTCCAGGCAAACTTTCGTGGGTTTGAAAATCCGCAGTAATTGCTCTAAAGCATTTCTTCGCATAGATAAATTTGCATTTTCTTCTGCTAAAGCAATAAGCTCCTTGTCAGCATTTGCAGCAATGTTTTCCAGCTTCTCATACATAGTTTCAGCATCTTGTTTTAAATAGAAAACAGCTCTCAGAAATGCTTCTATTTGCTGTACTGATTTGATGAGCATACCTTCTCTTCGATGTAGCTCTTTTTTTATCCGTTCCGTACTCTCCATTTTATCGTCAAAAGAAGAGCGTAAGTTGCGAAGCTCATCTTCTAACTTGTCTGCAACATTTCTCTTTTCCGCAAGTTTTTCTTGAGCAGAGGAATCAAGTTTCACAGGAAAGGCTGCAGAGGATATAACATCTGTTTCCTTCAACAACTGAGGTTGCTTGAGAAATTTTTCAGATTTTTCAAATTCTCCTTTCAAGATGCGCTTGCGATGTTCAGATATTTTTATAAGTTCTGACATTAAGCCTTTCTCCAGAATTTCAAGATTTTGGTTTAGCTCTTTCATGACGACTTCTTTAGGTTCCATTGGGATTTCAAAAAATACCGTTACACCTTTTTAAAAGGTGGTAAATTACTAAAAAAATTAGAAATAGTAACCTATAAACTAATAAAATGAAATAAAGGTTCCTTAATTTGTTTCCAAATCTGTTTATAAATTCAGCGATTAAGAAAATGCTGCCGATATGAGGATGTTGCCATTATAAATTATGAAATTTAAAGAAGATTTAATTTTGAGGAATAACGCAATGGTTCCGTATAAATAATTTAACGGGAACAGATTGAAAACTAATGAAAAAGATTAACTTTCCACAATAAATTTTAACTCGCATATTTTAAATAACCAAATAGTTACTTTAGAAGATTATACAAATTAACAGAAATTATTTGCATAGAAGGTGTCTAACATTTCGTTAAAAGATTAAACTACGAATACAAGCTGAGTAATTTTAAATTATCTGGAATTCTATTTACGTTTTCATTAACTTGTGTTTCAATGTGTAAATTTCATGTTAATCTTCAACTGCAAGAAAAGATTTGGTACATTTCCGTTATGCATCTGCTGTAAGATCAAACTACTTTAAACGGCTCTTCGCGCATGTAACCGATGCTTAACAGCTGTCGCATCGTTTAAATAAATCCCTATGACACCCATTAAGAATTAATTTTTTGGAACATATTCAGCATAGCTCACCCAGAATTTAACCAAAAATATCGCCAAGAGCGGTGATAAATGATATGATGTGGTAACCCATACTATTCGCCAAACGCAATGTAAACAAGAGGATGGAATTACGGTTACAGCTAATATAGTCAGTCAGAAATTTATTCAATTTCAATACAAATTACCGAGATATCCATTTACTCATAGTTAAATGCACGTGCCAATGTATTTTTACTTTTCCGGCAGAGCTTCTCTTAAGATTTATCTCGCGCTGCATTGTACGGCGAAATACAGCATTTTAAAATTAGAATTGTACTAAAATTCGTAATTGTACTAAAATCTAGGCAAAATTCGTAACACTATTTTCGGCGATTGTTTAACGCTCAGATATTGTGGAGAATACTGTTTTGGAGTTCATATTTTTGCATTTAGTTATGGATTGCTCTAAACCTGCTGTTAGTGATGTTGTATTTAAGTACGGAGAGATTTTAAAGGAGTTTCGTTGAAAATATGGATGGCAACCATTTCTCAAAATAATGTATTTCATGTGCTTTGGCCCCAAAACAAATTCGCCAAACTTTAAAGGTGGGCTAAACTGAAAGCTGTTCCAATTTTTTTAATGGTGGGCACTAGCCATTTTTAGGCTTTCGCCACTACTAAGGTCAGAAATGGTGGTCATTTTATTATGGTGTGGGAAATCGGTGCTACTTTACTTTGGTAGACGGTTGCACGGATTTTTGGCGATTTACGTTGGCGCAATTGTTGGCGCGATTTTTTACAATCGTCAGCCATCTTGAAAAACGCTGTTTTTACGCATAGTAAAGTATTCGAAACTTAAAAAAAATGAATATAGTTAAAAGTAATGGATTATTTTTTAAGACGGCAGGCAAGTGTAAATAAATACATTTACTATGAGTATAAAATACTAAAGTAAGGCTAATAGCAAAAAAGAGAATAAAAACACCGCTATAAAACATTGTGCCAACGTTTAATTAGATTTAAAATATTACTGAATTGAATATCGAATTAAAAACCATCATACCAACATTTAAAAGAATTAGAATATTATTAAATTCAAATACTTTAAAATACGTTATATAAAATATAATTAATATTAAAACATATGCGACAATAATTATCTCAGCAACTTTTGAAAATAGTGTATTAATTTTTTTAACAAAAATTGAAGTATACAATTATAAAATAAAAGAAAAATATGTATTTACATTTTTTTGAGTATTGATAAGTGCCACAAAAAAATTGAAATCATAATTGAATCGGCTCTTTTAGCCATCTTCATCTGTTATTCAGATATCTCGCACTTGATTGAAGAAGCAATTACCGAAATTTCCTCCAAAAATTTAAAATAAATTTCCTCTGACGCTATTAACAATTTAAAAATAAATCTTTGATTAGGAAAGACAGGTTGGCCAAAATAAGGTCTCAAAGGGCAACTTTTTTTATTCCAATACCAATAATTCTTGGTAATTACCAATAACAACATTGTTCTTCGAAACGGAGATTTCCATTCCATTTGAAATCTGAGGAATTCGAAGAGATGAATAATAAAATTTTAAAATGGCGCAGTAATGCACAAAATATTCAGTAACCAATCAAGGAACTGATTACGTCACGTAAAGAATTAAAATTATTTAAATAATCATTCATAATAAAATCATTTTTAAAACAAATGCAAAATTAAATTCTATTTTAATATTTAACAGCCATAAATAATGTTTAAAACATTAGAGTAAATTTATAGATATTAATAAACCATCACTTTTTTTAAGTAAGATGACGTCATTGATTACATCATCCACAACATAAAATTATATAAAATATTATAAACAAAAAATTTTTATTTCAAATAAAAATGTAAAAATTAATTGATTTTTTTTAATATTTAGAAGCCATAAATAATATTTCAAACACGGAAGTTATGCATAATAAAACGCATTATTTTTTTAATAAAATGACAACAAAGTATCGGTTACCATAAATAATTTATCCAGCAATGGGTTTACCATAAGTTGTATTACTCGCCAAAAGGAAAATCGCCAAAAAATCGCCAAAATCCGTGCAATCGTCTACCAAAGTAGCACCGGGAAATATTATGTCATGATATTCCCTAATCCCCTACTGTGTGGCGTATGCATTGCGTCAGCCTTCGGGAGAAGACGAGGACTAGCGGGCGAGTGGAGCAGACGTCGCTCGATTGCTCGTATATTATTTCATTAATTGTAACACTAAATGTAATCTATGTTTGTGAATAGTAATAAATATGTGTTATCAACTATGGTCGTTCCGCCTTCGGGAGAAGACGAGGACTAGCGGGCGAGCGAGCAGACGTCGCTCGATTGCTCGTATATTATTTCATTAATTGTAACCCTAAATGTAATCTATGTTTGTGAATAGTAATAAATGTGTGTTATCAACTATGGTCGTCCCGCCTTCGGGAGAAGACGAGGACTAGCGGGCGAGCGGAGCAGACGTCGCTCGATTGCTCGTATATTATTTCATTAATTGTAATCCTAATATAATCTATGTTTTGAATAGTAATAAATGTGTGTTATCAACTATGGTCGTTGCCTTTCCCTACAAAGGAGGCAACTATTAGGCGGCCACCGTTACCTCCTATTAGAGGACAGCCATATCATCTCAGGGATTTTCCCCTTTTATATCATTAAGGATTAGATAACATTTTAATCATAAGAAAAGAAGTTATGCACTTAAAAGGATTGAAATCAACATTCCTGTATCACATAATCGTGCGCACAAACGAAGGGAAAAAAGTGCCTTCAATTCATTCAGTTTTTTCATAGTGCTCGAAATGAGTTCATCGATCGCTTCAAGTCCGGTGGAATAATGAGGCTAGTTTCTAACACCCGCCCCGTACTTTGGCATGTGTGTATATGATGGAGATAGCTTAACGTCTAAAAATAAACCAACAATTCTCGGTTTTTAAAACATCCCATATCTGTTGTTGCTTTTCTTCAGGTTTCTGACGAAGTCAGACAAGGTCCAAAAGACCGTTGACTCTAAGAACGTCGAGCACAAGGAGGAGATTGGAGTAAATATCATCTCTATAGAGGTCCAAGCAGCCTAATATGTACTCGGCAGACGCCTGATGTTCTCGACACTTGGAGCATGTGGCAAAAATTTCTATCTTGCTAAGAGAGGCTCATAATATGACCGCTGGAGATACGTAGTGAGAGCGTAGTTCAGGAGCACCTGTCACACTCAAGGGTTAAGAGTCCTACCAGGTTTGCTACCAGGGATGGGTGCGGGACACCAACCACTCCACCGTGATTTGTGATGTTTTCAGAAAATATAATTCCAGGTAGGTAAGGGCGGTAGAGGAGGGAGTTAAAATGTCACAGCCCTCCTTTGTTAGTTTGTCCCTCCATTCCATATCTAACATCACATAATCTAGAGGAGATGAAGAACGTCACATTTTTCTACACAATGAATGTTAACAGGAAATAAATCAATTAATTATCCCATTTTATTCTTTATTTTATATACCAACGAGAAAATTTTAAAGATCTGCAAACGCGCTTATATAATGCATTTATTACTTTTAATCGGGTAACTATATCACCAATAAATCCAAACAAACGCAACCGATAAAAATAAATCATTAGGTATGTCGGAAATCTCCTCCAACTCATATGGCGATAAAATATAAATAAATGTGAGAAACTATTTTACTGACCTTACCAACAACTAAAATATTAATTAAGTAAAATAGTCGAAGTCCCTATTTGAAAAACAAAGAAAGGATTTAAAAGTCGTCTAGGTTCTTGAAGATTTTGCTGCATAAAGAGCTTAAATTTTTAATACCTTCGTAATATTTACTGACTACGAAATTTTTAGAATTTTGTATCTAGCAGGCATATGGACCATGCTCATACGTGAGCACGTCCAAAGTTAATTTAATAGTTAAGTAATGTCTACCTCTTAGGACTTTAAAAATTTGATCTTATTGTTAGCACGACTGTTCATGCACACGAGGAATTTCTTCGTAATTAGAATATCCCAAATAACAATGTTTATTCTTGATTTCTACTTAGTCCGTCTCTGCAGGTACGCCTTTGATAACTAAACGTGATCGAAGATTGTGCTTTAATCCAGAATGTGTCGTATTTTATCTTGTTTATAATAAAACAAACAAGGTCGGAGGAGGTATATCATCTGGAAGAGTTAGTGTCTGGGCTGATTTGTTAGGAGAAATCCAACTGCTTTTCATGTCCATTGATGATACTTCTTGATTAGCTGGTTTCTTCTGATTTCTCACAATTAGTTCGTTTCTTGTTCCTTTTACTGGTTTTGACATCACGAGCAAGATCATCACATTTAATAGTATGAATAGTTTTAACAGATACTTGTTTCCATTTCAAATTTCTTTAAGTATTTCGAGCTTCCTTTTCTGTAGATTCTTCCGTAAGCTGTATTCTTCCGTACCCCGTTTCCTCACACAAAATCAAAGCTTTTACTGGGAAACGATAATTCTTAAGAGTTGCAATAATGCCACTCTCAATATTCTTGACACTATTAGAGAAAAATTATTAGGATTATTTACCAATTTTTTTGATTTTTTGATTTATTAGGATAATTAATATTTGTATTAAAGGATATTGCTTTATTTCATTGTAATTTTTTTAATATTTGATACATTTTTATTTAATTTTTTATGATAAAGTTGTTCTGCAGAGGAAAATTCTGTGCAGGTTTTAAATTAAATTTTTGGTGTTCCCTTTAGGCATTTTTACGGTACATTTAAATAGCAGATGAAAGCTTTGCCGCGTAGCGGTTAGTGTAATATATAAATACGATATGTAATGGCATTTTTAGTTTTAAACGTCTTTTACTTTTAAAAATTATATTATAAAAACTGTAGCCAAAATATATTCACCACTTTAAATGATAAATATAATCAACTAATCTATTCAGTTGAAATCTGTTTGATAACATATATCAATCTCAGTATTTTTATCGCTTACGAAATGTTTAGAATTTAATCTGACATACTTTCGAAGGTGACTAATGGCAAAAAAACACTCTACGAGTCATCTTTGCTGCAGAAATCATGTGAAAAATTGCATTAAGGTTTCTATGCAAAAATCTCTATCTTATTGGTGGAAAACGGTGTAACTCAATCTCTAAATAATCGTTCATATCATCGGGTTATATAGTTTCATAAGAAATTAAAAAATGATAAAATGAAAAATTTTATACGATGTTATCCTAGAAATTTATAAAAATGTCCTTTTACCTGATGTAACAAATATAGGAAAAGTAAGACCAATTGATTACAAACTTTGGTGTAACCTTGCTCTCTACTTTGTATAATGCCACACTCTTCTCGTGAGCACCAGTTACATCGAAGGTAGCAAGTTTATTACTATTGTTATCTGATTTCTTTTTTAGAAAACGTAGAATTTTGCGTATGTTCATGCTTCAGAAACCAGTTTAGTTTAAACAGTTTCGCTTCTTAATAGGCAAGTCATAAGTAATTTTTCTCTCTCACTCAAAAACACGGTATTTTACTTCCTTGTACGAAATAAATGAAAAATTGTAATCACGAAAATTTCAGATTTCAACGGAAATATCCAACTTGAGCATTCCCATTTTTGAATACTTGTTTTTGTGTGACGTCTGTATGTACGGAATAAAGGACCTTTTTATTCCAAGACAAGGTGTAAAATTGATTGACAATGGTGTTACGAAATGTACAGGTATGGTAAGATAACTTCCCCGCAAAGCAGTTTTACGGTTGCCATAAAATGGCAAGGGACGGCAAGGTTGCCACATTTGGTGAGCAATCGCCCATTTGGCGATATACCATAGACGGATGGAGAACAAATTCTTACCGGTTTAGCCCAGAATGTTCTCAAACACAAGCTGAAAGCTACCTGCTGGTCCGCAGTCAGTTATTGCCTCGTCGAGAGGGCGAGTCAGTGTGTGCTTCGCCTAGAGTGCCAGATAGTTAGTATCGAGTTGGTGTCTCGTCTAGCTAGTCAATCCGTGCGGAGTCGAAATGTCGGCCAAGAAAAGGTGCGAGAGCAACTCCAACAGGTGAAAGTGGAGCTTACAGAAGAAACTGGAGCCATAAAAGACGATGTGGAAATGAAAGAAGTGGCATATGAATTAACAAAGGATGAAGAAATAAAGGAAGTAGCTAATGAACTGTCTGAGGAAGATCAAGAAATGAAGGATGAAACATCTAACGAGATTAAAAAAAAAGAACGAAAACATTAGGAATGTTTTATTTAGACATACTAGAAAATTGGCTGTTTCCACATCTGAATGAAAACACTGAAGATTACCCATTTCAGAAAGACTAGTACAGAAAATATTTTATACAGAAATATTTTCTGTTTTCATAAGGGTAAAGTTCTCTACTACAGAAACTGTCTGAATCAAAATCTTTTCCAAACAGAAGAGAACTTTTGCGAGATGAATCCAAAACATTTTCCATTGAGGACACACATGGAGAAGTCCAGGAATTAATCCCGTGTGGCTTTTATCTCGTGAAGGGTGTCGAGGATATTCTTTCAAAGCCATCCCTCCGTGATAATCTCCAGAATCTTCGCTTTTATATCACCGTTGCTGTGGCTGCATCGATCATGTGCGTGGAACAAAACGGTTGGCTGGACTGATATGCATCATATCAAAAAAAAAAACGTTTACAGATTTAACATTTGTGCAATATAGAAAAATTAAAATTCCTTAAAAAAAGAAATGAAAATAAAATATATATTTAAAAAAAGCCTTGAGAGTATGTTTTTGCTTGAGTACAATAAAATTTGGTGTCGGTTGCTATGAAATATTCGCTATGAATTTGAAAAATATTTCAGGGAATTATATATAACCTGTATATAAAACAAGTGAATATCTCATGTCTTAATTATTTATAATTTTTTATATGCCAGCCATATGGCACTTAGGTATTCTCGGAAAAAACCTTACAATCTTCTCTATATAGACTGGAAAGGGGCGACTGGTAGGCTGGAGTCCAGTAGCAAGTCCTGGTGATGGGGAAACCAAAGAAATCCGCCTTGCCATTCCCGGGACTCGAATTCTGGACCTTCCAATTGCTAGCAGACGTGCTTTTCAATTACAAAGTTACAGGGATAAAATATGTTACATTCTTTCAAACTTAAAGGGCGTTTTGGAAGGCGAAGACTCAAACCCAAACTCTGATAGTGGCGGATTATCGTCCACCGTCTTTTAGTTCGGGCTACCAGAGCAAGAGATCAGAAAAATGTGCAGTGCCCTCTCCGGGTTTTGAACTTCAAACTTTCGTAGCCAGACTTGCTTCCCAGTTGCATCACGACAGCACGCGATAAGGAGGTAGAAAACATTGCAAAGAGAGTGACGCAATCCTATTTAATCCGAGATATATATTTCCCGTTTTCAATTATTAATTTTCATTTCTCTAATTGCAGGTCTTGAGAAAGAAAGACGAAACTATATTCTTTGAACGTTCCCTTCTCATGACAAGTTTTGTCAACTGATCTGTCCTGCCTGTGTTGCAGAGAGGTAGACGTATTGAAATGAAACATCTTACAGCTCTTTCTTGCTATAGCAGGTGCCTTATCATTACCTCCATATGTGTTGTCAGAAATAATCTCTTTTTGAGCTGATATCGAACTTTTTAGCACTAGAGAATAAATTGATAAATGAGAGGCGTTCAATAACTGCTGCGTTTACAAAAACGCAAAGTTAAACAAGGTAATTTCAATAAATCTTTTGCTTTTTAACTAATTTGCTACCAGTAAACACGTTTATGATCATAAACTTCATAATTTCGTTTTCATTTATTTCTGATCAATGCCATTTGTTTACCTCTTCATGACCAACTCTTACATCCGTTCATGAACATACATCAGCAAGTAAGTTATATAATTATTTTGATATAGATAATTTAAACTTTAATAATTTGTTCTTGAATCATGTGATGCGAATTAACTGTAAGAAAACTGTACCGTTCTATGGTTGTTATTATTTGTAAGAGATCTTATTGCTAACGTTTATACTGCATTTTAGTACACTGATATAAAAAACTGATCTTGAGCAGTATATTTTTGTATTTAGTTTGTATAAAGTGTTGGTTTGCTTTTAAAACATATAGGAGAGTCATTTTTGTTAACTTTTTTTGTCGAGATATGCAATTCCCATCATCATTTTTGTTTCATGCATAAATTGAGGGTAATTAAAGTGCTGTGTTTGATTTTAGAGAAAGATTCCGTCTAAAAGTCTAAACGCAGGTCGGATAGCAGCATGATCTATTTCTTATATATAGCATCGCTCTCCAAGCCCAGTTTTTTTTATGGAGGTGAACAATATTTTTTCTTTGGCAAAGTTTCTCATATCATATCTCCACTCATGAAGAATATTTTATTGATTAAATGGTTGAATATCTGAATTGTTTTATCAGACAGACATTACAGAAGGGAGAAATTCAGAATTTTCGGGTGAACTGTTATAATTTAAAAGTGTAGAATTGTCCATTAGCTAATTTCTGTCATCTTGGATAACAGAAACGCAATGTTTTTCAATGGAAGGGGGGGGTTCAATTGAGTCAGATCTAACTCATTTTGATAACCGTTATATCAGATTTCATTGCATTCCTCTTCCTTTGTTTGTATTTGTATATATTTGTGTTTAGTTTTGTGGTTTTGCATTTTTTTAAGTTTTAGTATTTCCCATTTTTTTAATTCTTCTAATTTTGGTTAATTTTACATATTTATAGGGAATTTGCAAATTTATAGGAAATTCTGGTTTTGAATTTCACTTCTTTTGGGTCTTTGTGGAATTGGCTCTAAGTTTCTTACTCTTTGTATATACTGTTTAATTTTCAAGAATTGTGATTCTATATATATATACATATATACTAAAGAAATATTGATTATATTATCTCCTAATATTAATTTTAGTAGAAATATCTAAAAAGAGTGAACCCAGAGGTAGGAAGCTTAATTGCGAAAATTGTTTTAAAGTAACTTGAATGTAAATTGTTAAAAATGTTTTACGGGGACTTTAATTAAATCATGAATAACAAAATTTCAAACTTGAAAAAAGAAATTAAATTAAAAGCAAGTAATTGTTGCTATTGATCGGAAATTAGTTGACCTTTCAAGGGGAACAAACCAACTCTCGTTCAATTAACAATAATTGATAAATAACAGAAAACTGTACCGTTACCCAAGGTGTCTTATATATAATAAGATACAAATGAATTACAAGGCTTTAAAATTAACTTTCAAAACTTAAATTCAACTCTAACAACAGAAAAAGGGTAACTTTCGAATTATCGAGATAGACAGAAAGTGTTACTATAAGATTCTTTGATGTTGACTAATGAAATAACTGCAGATTAGGCCTGAAAAAGCAATCTAAATTTACTCAATAAAGGCAACATTATTACTTGTTTATTTTAATTTAATTTTCGAGTGTTTTGTCGTAATTATTAACCTCACCAACAATAACTTTAGCCGTAGAAGAAGAAGCCGTCATCTTTTTTTTTCTTGCAATAATTTTACGCTTTTAAAAAATTTCTTTTTAGCTTTCAAAGTTTTAATATTTATTATATATATATAAAAATTTTATTTCTCCTAAAATATATTTATTCACGATAATAATAATAATAATAAATTTAAAAAATGTTTTGTTTAAAAAACGTTGTAGCCTAGAATAAAAATTACTGATTAAATTATCGAACGTTCGCATTCTTTTGCAAGTTAACCTTCAATGCCAAATATAGTTTCAAAGCTCATTGAGATAAATAGCAATGATAAAACGTAATGCGTTCTAGACTGAGAAGATATTCTTACGAATTTTGTATATATGTAAATAATGTTAGTGAAATTGTAGTATCTTCTGTATGTTATACAAAAGATACTACAGTTAACAATGAAATGCTTGAAAAATGGGAAGTCTCCCATTTTTCCCATTTTTAACTCCCGAAGAGTTAAGGTTATTGGGGCAAGTCTATTTAGCATTGAGGTAAATGGCTATCTCGCTAATTTGGCAAGAAATTGTCAAAATTCGCCACACTTGGCGCCCATTTGGCGACATTTTGGTCTTGTTCCTGTATATCTACAACTGGTGCTGTAATTGACCCTTATGTGTAACCGTATGCGACACTTATTTATAATTTGAACCGTACATGCGTGCGAATAATTTCAAGAAATGGGAGATACTAGCGGCGGTAGGTGGAGAACTATATAAATCTGGAGAAAGGACATCAAATTTTAGATTTTACCACATACAGAGAAAGAGGGAAAAACAGAAAAGAAAAAAAGTGCTCATGGTGCGCTTAAGAGAGAGAACTTTGAATAGTGATTTAACGTACTTAATCAAGTGAACTTATATTGAATCATATGAATGAAATGCTTAAAAATGGAAACAAAGTATTAATAATATTTTGCGTTAATTACAGTAAGAGTTATTCTGTAGCGACTGAAGTATTTAACTTTTCTAAAAATGTGTACAATCAAATCCCGCTATACTGATTTCTCAATTGTTGCTTTCGTTCTAATAAGAAAAAAATTGGATCAGTCTCTCAAAACAGTTTAAAAATTAATTGATAAATCCCATTAGCATTGGCACATCTTCCTGAATATATTAAGAGTAATATTAATTAAAAGTTAATTACGATTATTATTAAGTGCAATTACTAAATTTTTTACATTGTTTTTTTAGTTTCAACACGCTAATAATTTTAGACAAAAAATTCCCACATTCAGGCTATGAGATATTTCTCTCGCCTTCTTAGCATGTCTTCGTAGTGTAGTGGTCAGCACGCTCGGCGAGTATTCGAGAGGCCCGTGGTTCGAGTTCGGGCGAAGGACTTGCTCCTTTTTTCATTTCTCCTACTTTCAAAAAATACCTAATGGTTCTACATGCCATTCACACATAAATTTACACATATAAGTCATGATTCAGACCCAGCCTTCGAATTAAATACTTCCGTCTCGTATATGCATTTGCAATTATGAATAAGCACTACCCTTGAACAGATTGTTGTCTGATATCTCAGCAGAAGAACTCGAATGGAATCAAAGAAATGATTCGAGCTCTTTGTTTTAATGTGTCAATGGCTTTTAGGCTCATCTCAATACGTAGGGCTAGTATTTTGCCTTACGTATTGAGCTGAACCTAAAAGCTATTGACACATTAAAACAAAGATATCCTTCAGTAGGATCTCTTAACGTAGGGCTAATTTAGATGTCCTGAATACGAAATGCATATCCGAAAACAATGGACGGACAAGAATTTAAAAAAAAAATTAAATAAAGAAAAAGACAATTTTGTTGGCTACACTTTTTAAATCAAATATACTGACAGTTAAATATTAAATTCTTAGACTGATATTTTTCAAATAATTATAAAATGCGTATGTAATCAATCATTAAATAACTTGCTTTAATTTAAATTCAAAATAAATAAACTATAAAAGCATCCTAGGCTTTGAGAGAAAATTTACTAAGTGGCCAAAAAAAATCTTGAAAATGAATGGTAATAAGTTAGTCTTTTCTCTTATTTATTAAATTTTTCTTTGACGCAGAAACAAAAATGCAGAAATCACTTAAACTATCTTCATCATCAAATTATCACTTAAATCACTTAAATTACCTTCCTCACGGACTGTAGATACTCATTAGTCAATTGAGTTATTTTTTTGCTAATTTTCAACTGCGAGAAAAAGCTATTCACATATAATTTTTTCTCAAACAAAGCGATTATTCTTAATGCAAAAATTCGTAACTGATCTTATTTATTTTTTGACAAGTAGGAATAAAAGAGCTAATAAAATCTGTATCTTTAAATCTTTGAATAGGATTTATATCACGTTGTAAATTAATTAGCACCATTTACACATTTTCTGGTACGTCATTATTGTTCGCTTTTATTGGGAATGAAACTAACATAAATTCGGATTTAATAACTAAAATCTTGAAAACTTTGCAAGACATATTTGCAGAAAATACATAATTGAAATGTCTTCGCAGGTCGCCAGTTTGCGACGACTGCTTTAAGGTACATTTTTAATGTGTTCGGGCTTTTCAAGAAATGAGTGCTAAACCTATCTCGCATTTTATTTTTGCTTAGATAGCAGAGAAAGGTAAGGGAATGAGAAAGATAAAAGAACGATAACGGGGTGATTTTAGCCTTAGGTATAATTTTCAGCTGCAGAAATTCTGAAAAAGCTTTGAAGGATGTAAAAAACTTTCAGGCCGATGTATCCACAAAGTTCTTTATATCCATTTTTTGACCGTTGGAATTTCGTTGTAGCCTTATGAAATCACATTAAATGTGTAGGAAATTAGATTGGGTCATATAGCTTGTTCATTGCATCCAGGGTTTCATCATGAGCCGGGTTTAATGAAACTAAACTAATAGGTTGCTACAGAATTTGACTGTATTTTATAATATTTGATGTTTAATAATTATTATTGATATTTAAATGCTACTTATATTCAGCGGATAAATACAATGTAGTTATTAATAATTCTCAAGGAAAAAAAATTTGGCAACAAATTATTTTTATATCTGGTTTTTTACAACCATTTGCTTCCACGTCCTAGTCAACGGGGTGCAGGGAGGTGGACCGTGCACGTTCGTTTCTTTTTCGGATGGCACAGGCTGTCCTCCAACCATCGATAGACAAACTTGTATCATCGATTACGAAAGTGAGCGTTGTTTATCGATTACGAAGATTTCAAATAAATAAAATTCAATAATTTTCCCCCTCATATCTACTCTGTCATACATAATTATTATTTTAAATCGTACATATACAATCACTAGACTCTAATATCTATTTTACAATCATGCATTATTGCTGCTTAGGGAAACATATATTATACAATATATTAATATATTACAAACATATATTATACATATATTAAACATATACAAATATATATTAATTTTCATTAATTTTTAGACTCTTCACATGCATAATTGCTGTTTTTTATTAACAAGAGAACTAAACTAATCATATCAATACTTTTGATCATTTTATCAGTAATATGAGCCAGTTTCTGTTTATTAAGACTTTTATAAGGGTCTCACAATGAATTAATTTGAATAATGGAAACAATTTAATGTATCGTAGAGATTTATTCCCATTGTTTGCAGTCTCGTATATAACAAGAAAAATATTAAATATGAAGGTAGGCTCTTTTCCTTTCTGCAGGATTTTCTATATACAGCCTTATTACAATTCCGCATAAAACGTAAACGAAGCATCGAGACTTCGTAAATGATTACAAAGTATATCAGCAGTTCCCCATCTATGGTGAAAGAAAAGTCACTGCCATCCGAAAAAAGCGGCTACCGGAGGTGTACTTGAACTCTCGAACAACTCTCTATCTTTTTCTATTTTCAAATATTATTTAATAGAAACTGAAGAAAAATTTGCTGTTTTCTTAGAATTTTGTCAAGTATCAATTTCATGCAAAAGCAACTGGACAGACAGTTCTTTTCTTGACTTCAAAGTTTGCCACGAATTGTCATGCAACAGTTGGTTCACCAACATCTGGGTCTGCCCTCTGGTGTCAAGATAACGGGTAATTAATTGTAAATCCAGGAGTTTTCTATAACAGTATTGTCAGTTTATCCCATCGGTCGGTTTACCAGTTTTAAAGAATAGAGAATTAGGTAGAATTTATTTTTACCTCCATGAAATCTCCATTCTTACCTATCAGTTGACAAATGACCAACTTTTTGTAAATAACCTCTCTCGGAGGGGTAAAGTAGCATCTCTTGTATGCTTTATGAAAAATTAGTGATGATGAAATTAGTGTGTCTTTTAGAAGTATCGCATCTCTTTCTTAATGACAACGGGAAGCAAAGGAAGTATTCGAATCCACTTCCTAGTTTAGCGTTTTTATTCAAAGATCGTCTGCACCACCCTGGTTTGTATTCTGGCTACGACTATTGTATTCTGGTTGCGAGTTATTGAAGGACTCATCGCATCAAGGCTCATCACAGTTCCAAAACGAAAGTAAAAATGTTTTCTGTTTAAATTAATAAGATGTAAAATAATAAATGTATCAATGCCAGTGATTGTCACTGTTTATTATTAATGCTCTTAATGTTGCCAGTAACAGCTCTCTTTCCAAAGTTTTCTTAACTACTGTTAGGTGAGTCCCTCGCACTCAAAGAAGCAGCACTATGGTTAGATACGCAACCAGCAGCTCACACTTCATTCTCCACAGATAGCATGAGCGTTCTGAATGCGCTGAATTACTTTCCTCCAAAACACCCGCACACGGCAGCACTTAGAGAGATCTTCTTGACGTTAGGCTCTTCCATCCGTTTAAAGACGAACTGGATAAAAGGACATACTGGGCAGAAAGGCAACGACGAACGAGCGGATGAACTAGCTAAGACTGTAGCTCTCAAACCAGAAATTGACAAGTTCCTCTTTCCGCAGAAGTTGCAAGAAAACTCCTGAAGGCAACATTCCAAGAGACATGGTCATCACGATGGCAAGAAGAAGAGACAGGAAGATTTACTTACAACATCTTCCCAGTACCTTCTCTCAAGAGGCTCAAATGCAACCGAATCTTTCTCCAGGCCTGTACCAATCACGGGAAATTCCCAGCATATTGCAGACGATTCCTCAGACGGGACGTCAACTGTTCTTGCGGTTTTCACGGGGAAGACGCGTACCCACTTCATTACCTGCTCTCCTGCCCTCTGACAGAGCACCTTCGACAACAATTCTTTCCTTCCGACTACATCACGTATGCTTTGAATAGACTGTTCACGGACTATTACTGCAACAAAGGCATCTTAGAGATAATGAAGCAAGTGAATGAAAATAATTATATCCAAGAAACTAAAGACTAATGTAAAATGTAGAAAGGCGGCCTAACCGTCAGATTGCTAGCAATGACTAGGATGACTTCCTAACCCTGTAGTGCCATTAACTTAGTTTGGCGGAACAGGTTAAGTAAAGTGACCATAACCTTGAGTTAATGAAACTGCGTTTTCGGTATTGCCACGGTTAATTGAAGTTGAGTATACCCATTTGAGTCCCATGAGACCTCCATAAGAGAACTTAATTAGTATGATGAAACAGATAATATGTATGAATGCATATTTGCGATCTTCGAAGATCAAACCATTGAGCATAACTTATACATGGATTTTGAATAATTATTCTGGCTTGCTAAATTATTAATTTTCTGGTGGTAATATTGGGAGTAATTTTAATATTTGCTTATGTGTCATGTTCAAAGAACCTACAGAAATATCACGAAAACAGATTCATTAAATTTCAAATTGCAAAAAACACTGTTCATATTTAAAAAATATAATGTTACACGTTTATTCATATATAGACTTTATAATTAGCAACAAAACAGCGTACTCAGATGTGAGTCACATATACGAGGACGACTCGATCCACCTCTTCACATAAGGACCATAAAATTATAAATGGGTCGTCCCACTCAGTCAGATGTGAGTATCTGATGTTAAAAAATGGAAGTTCTTCAATGCATGCATTTCAGCAATATAAGACTAAATCTAATTTTTGAAAAATGAAAATACGGTGCTGTCATCTGGTGGCGAATTAGGGAACTATGCCTGTGACAGTACTTTTCTGCCTGGTACTTAAGCACTAAAGCTAAAACTGTTCATCCGTGGAATGCACCGACAAGTGGAATTCTACTATTTTTTTGTATATTCAGATATCATTCAATTAGAATGAAGAAGACTATGAAAAACTCTTCTCCCCACATCCTAAAGAGTTAGAGCTCTACGCAGCAAGCTTTATGCTACGATAGCTCTACGCAGTAATTTTAACTCTTTCCGTTTTGAAAAAATTCGCAGCTAATTCGCATGCATTCTTTCATTAATGAATTTATTTGAGCTTCTTAATCCTAAATCCTATATGAAAATGTTACAGAACAATTGCCGAACAATTGTTTTGATTTTGGAACTTAATTATTAATTTCTGTGATCTTCCACATCAAGAAAACATAAATCGAAGAAGATTAAATCATTAATTTACAATGAATGATAATATATTGCTGAAGCAAATCCTTTTGCAAATAGTTTACACTGAAGCAGTAATTGAAAAAAAAAAAAAAAAAAAAAAAAAAAAAAAAAAGCTATCCAATAATATCTTAAACATAAATATTATATTATTTCTTATACTAAGAATTGAGAATACTAAATAATAAGAATTTTCATTGAGAACTTAATAATCAACTGAATTGTGAAAACGTATTAAACTCCCGACCATTCTATAAAACTATTACGTGGCATACCATATGAATTTTCTCCGATAAATACTTCGAAACTTAAAAAAAAGGAAAATATATATATATATCTAAAAACGTTATAACTTTCAACAGAGTTATTAATTTAAAGTAAACAAAATTCTATTCAAATTAATTCTATTTTCTGGTAAGAATACTAATTAAGACTTAATAAGCAATTCACTTGCAAAAAAAAATCAAACTTCCATCCTTTCTTTCTACTATAAAGCAACATAGGTATTATGTGGAATACCATATCAAATTAACTTGGTAAGTAATTTTGAAACTAAAAAAATTATCTAAAAAATTATAATTTTCAACAGAGTTATTAATTTAGAGTAAACAAAAATCTGTTTTATTAATTCTATTTTTCTTTCATTAGGATAAGAAGCCTGCAAGTGAACTGGTATTAAATACATAACGTCCGCACTTTCAAACATTTCCAAAATGATGGATGAGATGAAACCACCAAGCTACGAAAGCGTTGCAGGTAGAATACTTGTTATGTTAGTATTGTGGTTTATGATGCAATCACAAACTTGTTTGTGTCGCAATAATCGATGGTAAATTTGGATGCCTAACATAGGAACAATTTCTTTAAGAGCAAGCGATGCAACAATCGCTGCTGATTTCGGATTTTGAAGAGGCAAAGCGAATACGCAAATAAATATTGAACTGAATAGGCGACCCCAAAAAAGAAGTGAAAGAAACACCATCTATTTGAAAAAAAAAAGGACTCGAAAAATTAAATCTTACTCATTAAAATTTTGAAAAACATTGGGAGAAATTAAATTGCTATAAAGTAATAACATATATTAAAGGGATAGCATTTTCTGAATATGGAAGGCTATAAAAATTCCAATTTACTACTGAAGTCTTTTCTGAATAATTTTAATGCAATAAAAAATAACATTGGGGTTAATCGGAAAATTGTGATTAGCTACTGATGATGTATTCAGTTCTCCTTTTCGAGCTTAAGATTCATACTCCTTCATACTGTTTAAATGTTTTTTTAATTTGTCCAACATACGCAGTATATCTATATAATTTTAGGACGAATTATTTTAGCAAGTTACAACAAACCTTACAAACTTTTATTTTAAATTCAAACAACATCAATAAGTATTAATTTTTTATAAATATGCTGATATTTTTTGCAAATATTTTACGCTGATTTCTATCGTTCGAACTTCTAATAATTGTTATTCGGCTTTTACTTTCAAACTTTAGTTGGCAACATTTGTTTACTAAAACATTTCAACTAGCGTTTCCTAAATTATAATCTGTTTACGGTCAGACATTTCTATTCAGTTAATGTTTTGCTTTGATCTAGTGAACATATGCTGTCATAACTGATAAAGCTGAGCAAATGTTTCGATCCAAATGGCAGACATTAATCCCGATTTTTTCAATCACATTTTGATTGGAGATGAAATTTTGTGCTTCGCTTAGAACTCTAAGACAAAATGGCAATCATTTGCTTAATACCATGGCAAGAGAAACTTCGGTTTCAGAAATTAGTTTGATGATTTCCACCTTTTGGTTTGGAAAGAAATAATTTACAAGGAATTTATTCTTGAGGAACAGACGATGACTTCTACGTTTTATGAGACATAATGGAGAGGCCTTTGAAAAACATTTAGGGTGTCCTAGACCTGAGAAACATGACAGAAATTATTTTCTACTACCGACAATACATTCAAATACAATTCCATTCTCGTCAAGTAGTTTCTAGCCTTCTTAAAAAACGTGTCATCATTCACAACCACCTTACCCTTTTGTATCAGATTTGGCGCCGGCAGACTACTTTCGTTTCCCTAATGAAGTGTTACCTCGAAGATCTTATTTTAATAACACTAAAGAGATTTAGAAAACAGCAACCAGAAAGAGTATTCCAAAAAAGGAGATTTAAGAATGAATAAAGCACTGTATATGTTTGCAAGGATAAAATTATTGTGAAAATTATGAAAGGCACTAATTAAATCAAATTTACTACAGTGAAAATCAACTTTTACAAACTAAAAAATGCGATTCAAGAAATTATGAACAAATTCATTATTCTCCACCGAGAATAAAACTAACAATAATTTTAGTCTTATTTGCAAAGCCTTCTACCAAGAATTATTGAAAAGAATTTAATTAATAATGCACATATAAAAAATTCTAAAGGCAACTGAAAAATCATTGAAAATAAAACTAAATCTTTCCATAAGCTTAAAAATCCACCTTAACTTCAATTTAATAGATTCTCCAAATTACAAGTATTTCTGAAGCTTCATATAAATCCAGTTAAATTTCGATTCATAACCAATGGAACAAAAATTCGCCAAAGAAGCAATAGATATTGATAAAAATTTTAAAAAGAAAAGATTTCTTTAGTCATTGCCTAGTGATGTGGATCTGAAACGGAATTTTTATTAGATTGTTAATAATAGCTGAAAAGTTATTAGAACCATTAAAAGTAACATCAATCATAGAATTAGTTGCTACGACTTCGAAAATCTGTATACCACATTACCACGGGATGAAATTTATGAAAGCTTACTAACTATTCATAAAATATTTCTTGGTTTAATTAAAATTATTAAAATAGAAAATCGCAACACATATCTTAACTGCACACGTTTTAATAACCTATTATAAATAAAAATGAAACTTACCAACAAAACCAATTCCTCCACAACCATTTGTAATCTAGACCTACGTATCCAAGAATATATATTTCTGAAAAATAGCTGAAGCTCAATCCGATAAAACGTTTTTACTTATTAGTACATATGTAATAGGTACATTAATAACTAAGGGCTTAATTGAAAAAAGTAAAATTTACCCGACTTAACAAAATTTAAACAATTTGCAATTGCAACAAGTTAACTCAGTATAATTTTTAAAAAATCGATTATTTGACAAATTAGAATTATTCAGTTCTAAAAGAATTAAACTTATTAACTAGTTGGACACTATCTGAACTCGTTAAATTTTAGTAACTGGAATTTGAACATTTCATAAAAGCTGTTGCCAATACTATTGTAAACCATTTTAACAAGATTAAAATTAACTGCACCGAAGTTAATGACATTGAAATTAAATCACTAATTACTAAACTTAGCATCAAGTACACTGTTTTTTAACGTTACGAAGAGATTAACTTATACCTGAAAGGGAAGGTCAACATCGGATATACCGAATGTGTAGCATTTGCAAATATGCAAATAACAGCCCATCTATTACTGTTACTAAAACAAATGGACCCATTTTGATTTCTATGACTCAGCACAGCCAGGTTTGAGTGAAAACTATCGACTATTTACCTAACCTTTGTATTTTCCATTTCCTTACCTTTATAATACACATTTCCTTTTATATTACAATTTGTATTTACAAGTTTAAATTGCTTTATTATTTTTATTATCTTTCTCCAATTAACATTTTTATTAATTTCACATTTTAAACAGTTTTAAATTAATCCTTTACTTAAACATTTAGTACTTTAACCACTTTACAATTAGCCTTTCCGTCCTGATTATTTTGCTTTCTGTGTTGGCAACCACACTTACCCATTTTCCGCAATCACAAAGGTAGGATTGTTTGCAGTAGGTTGGAATGTAAGTATGTTAGTTTTTTTTCTTTTTTTTTCCCAATAACCTTTTAGATTTTAGCCACTAAATGTCATCGCTACTTGTGATTAAAAAATAAACAAATGCATAAATAAATAATGAAGAATATGTATATACTGTGAAAAAATTACGTCACCATGAGTTACTGAATTTTAAATGCACCAAACGAATACGGACAGCTTGAAACCTGAATTTTGAATTTCGTGTTCCCTTTTAACCTGTTTCATATTTTGTACAAATTCAAAGACAAATTTGAAGACACAAACAAATACAAATTTGAAGACGTTTTGTTTAACAAAATAAATATGAAAGCGAGAAGAGGCAACACAGTTCGAAATATCTCGAGGGAGTCAGACTGTCGCCATACGGCAAAATGTAAAAGAATATGTTTTCAGTTTTAATCCATAATTTCGGCTATTTGAAAGCAATGTGTCGCCGCTGCCTCAAATAGAATATTGATTATCTCCATGCATCAGTTTGCTGCCATTCAATACAATATAATATTCTGACTTTCAAATGTAATCTTTGTAGATGTAACGATGTAGAAGCATTGATAGCATAGAATGTTAAATCAGTAATAAAAAGAAGAATTTTGAGTGCCTAGAATGTTGACTCATAATGAATAGGAAATTGGAAGCCGAAGCCGAATAAATAATATTCGTTTTTTTTTTTCAGTAAACACATTGCGCCCACAAACAACTTTACACACTACTCGTACCTATTTCGAAATGTTTGCATTTTTGATAGCTTTGCAGTCAAAAGAGATCAGCAAGTCACTTTCTAGCTACAGAGCAAGCGCGTTGTGTTCAGGATGAACTCTGAATTCATCCTGGCTGTCAGCACATATGGATAGGATAATTAATATGCTTAAAAATTATTATTGTTTGAGTTCCATTTACATCATCAATGTTATATAAGCGTCATATGACATGGATTACTGTCGAAATGACGCAATACAGAAAGCGACTACTATTTTTCGAATGCAGAGGAGATGCCTCATGAATTTTGTCTTTTTACCTACAATAAAAGTACTGCCTTAGCCATTGCTAATCCTTCAGTATGGCATAATAACTAATTTGAAAAATGAAGTGGGTCTGACTTAACACTAATAGATAATTCAGGGGAATTATTAATTCTTCAATAAGTATTATATATGAGTAAAACGGAATTTTTGAGGACTAGTTTGAAGATCTTTTTGTACCTTCAACTGAAATTTTAGCAAAAATGATATAGCGCCCTCTCTGTATACTAAATAGAGTTTTTGCGTTGCATTTATAATAACATTTAGCTAATAATCAGAGTCCACAGCCATCGACTCAAAGCTTTTTTTCTTTAATTTTTAATGCTATGTTTAAATGCTTTCTTTGCATTTTGGCCTTAGGGATTTTTTAAACAATAATTTTTCTTTCTTTATAACATATTATTAATATTAGACAAATGATGTTTTTTGTAATAAAATAAGCTTATACATATGCTATACTGTAATATAATTTTCTAGCTGGATATGATCCCTCAGCGCCTTCTATTAACAAAGCTTTTGAACCTGATGAAGGTAAGTTTCGTTCTTTGATTATAACCGTTGAGTGTTCATTATAACCGATTTAATGCTAATTATAACCAATCTAGTGTTCTAATGCTAATTATAACATGCAAACTTTAAAAGGCTAGCTTTTGTCATAGATAACAAAGCGATGCTCATAGTTTTATCGATGTCCATTTAATAAAATAGGAAACTCTTATTAAATGTAAAAATGTCAAATTACGCTCTAAGAATGAAATGAAGACCACTGCCTATTTGTATTTGTAAACTATAGTTGAAAGATGTAATTTTTCGGAGCTTAGTTGCGAAGCTAATAAGTAAAGTTTGCCTAATATGAGACTCATTCATCGCAGAAAAAAAACTTCTCTTCTTTCATAGCTAACAATTTATAAAGTTTTAAATAGCATTGATTTTGTTCAAAAAATGTATTTAGCAGGCAGTTTATTTTAACATTTACTTAAAAGTCTTGATCCTGTATTAAACTGTTAAAGTTTTGAATTATTAAAGCATAATGAGCTTTCTACCTTTTTTTTTAAACTTTAATGGAACAGTGCAATCATTAAGTTTTATTTTTCCCAAACGTTTCACTCTCTGATCTGAAACAATCTCCTATAATTCTGTACCTAATTTTGAGATAATTGGTCAATATTTAAGGAAGTGACGACATCTGTATCGAATTTCATGCATATATAGTTAATATGCAATCATTAATATCGAGATAAAATCAGACCAATTTGATTGATAATTAACTCGGTTAAGGTTGTAAGTGCAGCGTTTTTCAACATCATGCAGTGCTTATTCGTAGTTAACATTTACATAAAATATAGAAAAACAGACTGATAATCTTGACCCTGTTAAAAGGGTCACAAGCTCTATGGCAACGTTCTTTCAGTAACCGTCAATGCTCACTTCTAGTTAATACTTACATAAAATGGAAAAGAAAACGGACTTCTAAACATAGCTGGATTCAAAACATAACTGGAAGTCTAAGGCTCTCTAAGTACAGCGTTCTTTCAGCGCTTCGTAATCTTCTGGTAACATAAAATGTAAAACTTTTGATTGATAATCACGATTCGATTGAGTGTTTGGTGCACTAAGCACAGCGTTTTTTTCAGCGTACTGCTGTGTGCACTCCTAGTTGACTTGTATTTGTAATGTATGTAAAAATTTGTAAAAATGTAAAAATTTGACTAAAAGTCATGGCCCTATTAAGAGAGCTCGAGGTTCTAAAAACAGTGTTCTTTCAGAGTCCGAAAATGATCACTCGTAATTTTCAGGTGAGAGAACAGGGTTATGAGAAATTACAGAATGATTCTGGGATCCTCTAAAAGTGGGACCTTAAACCTGTAGTTTGGGGAAAGTCTCAAACAATTATCATTCCTAGAGAAAGCCTTTTTGAATAAATTATTGACGGATATAAATTTATTATTAACTGATATAAATTAAGTCAATTTACATGATACTAGTTTTGTTTTGTTTTATACGGGCGCTGCCCTTCCGCCTGGTTTGTTGAACCTTACGAAGAAAAGCGGGCGCAACCCTTCCAACAACAAACGACACGAGCCGGCGAGCCAGCCGTGTCCCCCCCCCAAAAAAAATCAATTTAGCAGCTTAACAGAAAGAAAAGAAAATTAGGTTAGTATACTAAAAAGAATAACACGTCACATAAAAACACAAAAACATTTAAGCTGTCCCTGGACCTTTGCATATAAAGTCTTTCTCTCCCTTTAAGGGTAGTTTCCATAAATTGAACGCTTTCAGTATGTTAGCTCGATACATGATACTAGTATATTATTGTTTCTAAACCTCTTTTATATTTTAACGCGGCGATCCCAAACTCAGATTGCATGCCGAATGCTTGATCTGAAAGTTGCTGACGGGCCAGAAATGTTCAATTTTAAAACAATTTTACTAGAAAAAAATTTAAGTAAATTTTAAATTTAATTTAATGAATATTTATCAGAACGTACATAAACAATAATAATAGCAAAACAAAGGAAAAAAATCCTGATGTGTACACCACATGACTTTCTTTTGTACGGAATATTAAAGTATATGCAATTTTTCCTGCATTTTATTTAATCTTATTTCCTAGAATTTCATTGGAGATATATTTCTAATTCAATTAATTTAGTTCTCACTTCGCGACAAGGCAAAAATACATAACTCAAAATATCTACATTAAAATTTAAAAGCTATAGAAAAACATAAAACACCAAATACAATTAAAACAATTAAAAAAAACAATTTTTACAATTAAAATTCAAGTTTTTACGCAAAAACAAGCAATTCAGACAGCGGGCAAAAAAGACAGATTTTTCGGTGCACAAAACTGCAAGTTTACTTTTGGTCTCACTCGTCAAAAACACACTGAAGGAACTGACTTAATTTGTTGTGGACGATATGCTGAGTGAATATATGGTATAATTTAATAACTTAAACGATAATTCCAGAATGGATTAAGTATGATTTAATTCGCAATAATAAAAGAAAATGTTATCTTTGTTGTTGCGAAGCTTAATTTTCTCCTAAGTCTCAAATGATAACAAATATGGCTGCTTTGATAAAAAAAATTAGGCTTAGCCGCACTTAAACAACTTTTAAATTGTTGAAATTTCCACAACTGATGCAACTTAACTAAAGGCATAAAAACATTAACCGGAAGATAAGAACAATATAATTCAGTCATTTTTTTAAAGCAAAAAAATACACAACTTACCAAGATATAAGAATAAAAAACTGAGCTCACGAAGCTGAGTCTATCGAGAATAAATCGTTTGATTTGGTTCTAACAGTTCAAAACGTCCTGAAATGGGATTCATCGTCAATGCTGCTTTTCCCAATTTAAAATTTTTTAAACCATTTCTGGGCAGTTCTTACACTAATAGTGTGTTCACCATGTACACTATTAATTTTTATCGCTGCAAACCTGGCAGATTCAGCACACGAAAATAAAAAAATAAAAAAATAAAAAATGTAAAATGTAAAAATAAAAAATATATTTTCGATAGCACGTTTGTACTGATTATTTATATTAATCTTCTATGGGTACTAAAATGCGTTCGATATTTACGAAAGTTGTTGATGAACTGAATAATATGTTAGTCAAACAATGACAAGTTTGAACAGGTTCAAAATTGTATTGTTTTAGTAAATGCGTCATAGTGAATTCCACGCATACTCTTAATGCGCACGAACTTATGGACTGACCCGATAATTTTGAAAATTATTTTTGGTGACATTCAGATAATTCCTGAAATATAGCAAAAGAGCATAACATACATGATAGGGCAATGCAGAAGAGCAAAATTAATTTTCTCGAGCTTTATATATCATTCAGAGCTTCTAAACTTTATTTTACCTCCACAAATAATTACAAAAGAGAGGGAAAAGTGACATTTTATGAATCTGAGAATAGAAATCTCAAATCTCTCAAAGTTTTCAAAAATTTCCTACACCTGGTTCTCAGATTTTTCCAAATTATCTTTCGAAAATAAAGAAATCATGTTGCCTAGTTCTCAAAGAAAATATCATTCGAGGAAACTCATTTTTAGGAAGAGAAGAATTCATTTCGAAACTGTTCTGAAATAAAAATCCACTTAAAATACTAAAAACATATTTAAATGAAAAAGTCCTAAAATTTTTTAATCATTTAAATTTTAAAAATATTCATCTAAAAAGAGGTGATATTGGCAGAACTGAAACAGGAAAATTAAAGTATATTGATGAGTAATTTTGAGATATGCATTCAATTAGATCTATAATGCATAGGAAAAGTGTACTTTATATTTTCGATATCAATTAAAATATTTAAAATTAATTATATTACTGTCGTGAAAATACATTTAATAGAATTCAGAATGTCATAGATGCACAAAATGCATTTCTGAAATGTTTTATACCCAATTTATAATTAATCAAAACATTTTGTTTGACGCTATTTTGAAACTGCAAAATTTCACTGTCAAAAACAAATTTATTTTCTACTACGATATTTCAAAAATGCGAGGCTGATACTCTGTTCGTTTTCGTATGACGTTTTCTACGGTGATATTCCCCCCTTAGAATAATTTTGGGCGATGCCCGCAAATAAGCTAAAATGATTTTAAATTAGATTTAATGTAGTTTATTATTTTTTAATATATATAATGTTTTTGAAAACAGAATAAAAATCAAAACTTGTTGGAATGAAAAGATAAATTTTGTGATGTTATTGATTTATTTTAGCAATTAATTAATACATTATTAATTGTATGTATTTAATTCTTTTTTGTTTCCTCCTATAGGTTATGAAGAGCCTCCGTCAGCACCAGTGATGGAGACACCTCAGCGTCCTACACTTGTCACAGAGTATTGAATGTTTAATAATTTTCCTTCTATTAATTATACTTAATTTAATTATACAAAATCCATTGTGATATTGTAAAAATATTAAATATAAATTATCAATAAATCAAAATACACACGAAAAATCATTTTGGATGGGCATAGAGCCTGATTTTACATGTGTTAAGGATGTAAGGATTATGTTAATTTTATTAACAGTTAAATTTTAAGTTAAAGTTCCTTCCCTGTCAAATTCTTAACTTCAACTTACTACTTCCGGCCAGAACGTAGTTTTGGAATCTTGCTGAATATTTAATGAGCGGTATTTAAACCACGAAGTTACTGAGTCAGAGAGAATCAGAGTTTCTGATTTACGCGCGTCGGCCTTTTTGGCCACTCTCTCTCTCAAAGCTGTTATTACGCTCGGCCGTACTCAGGCCCTTGCTAAGCTTCGTAGTGAAATAAGTTAAGGGGCCAGCTCGATTTGAACCTTGATAGCTTCGGCTATACTTCTTTAGTTAATCTTAGTTTTAGTTTAATTCTTAGTCTTTTAAGTTCAAGTCCAAGTGCGGGCTTTGCTTGTACACTCCCAGGCGGAGTTTTGTTAAATCTTATTGGAATAATAAAGGGTTAGTTACCCTCCTATCTTGTTGTTTCTTGTCACCGAACTCAAACGAATATTCGCTTATCAGTTCTTAGATTCTTCACTTCCAACATTAACTTAGAATTCCAAAGTGAGGAACTTTACAATGATAAATTAAAATAATTCGTTCAATTTTAGAGGAGACTTTGAATTTAAAATAATAAAGCTTTATTCATCTGTCAAACAATTTCTATTCAAATTAACAAAAAAGTCAATTGAGCTACTTAAATCGTCATATAACACACTACTATTGCATGGAATTTGATTAAAATAACCTTAGTAATAATGAAAATTCTTTGCTATTTAGAAAAATATAGAAAATTCGATGTTATACTTGATGTCAAAGTATGCAGATACAGCAACCCCCCAAAAAATGGGGGGCGGAAGTTTTATAGCTTCCCTTTTACTGGGATGATTGACGAAATTCTGAACTAGAGGTTTGAAATTCTGGCAACAAGGCTTGGGTAAAAATAGTAGCAACGCTTTGATAATTCCAAAAATAGCTCATTTCTATAAATACAATCTCTCAATCATTGCCTACAACATCTACCATCTTCTGCAAAATCACTAGAAATCTTTTACCACCACTTTCATGTCCACTTTTGCTGATGTTATGCAGGGACTGTTCAAAAGCATGAATACCCATTTCTGTGTTGTTGTAATGCATCCCTCACAATGATTATTTTATTTTGGAGAAGATATAATAGTCACACGCATTCATGCGAGATGAATATTGTTGGCATTGCAGTACCTTTAATTGTCACCGTCACTGGAGATCCATGACAGCTTTCCCATTGTGACACCATGCATTGTCATGGAGGAGGATGGGATCTTTACCAATGAATGTCATCTCTTCCTTGTAAGTGCTGGACGCAGATGATGTCTCAGGTGATGAATCTCATTCATCTTCCCTGATAATGTGCTGTTTTATGATTCGAAAGCTCTCACAAAGCTCCTGCAACGCTGGAGATGAGAGGACTGGAATATACGCCATACTGATTAGATATGAATCAGTAAAACTATGATGTCTTAGCCAAAATGAAAGATTCACTGGGATAGAATTCATTATCTCTCTTGGCCTCTGTTTGATATCAACAGAAATGAACGTGTTAATGATGTACGACGTGTGCCAGCAAGTGCTCAGACGGGGGTCAACATGGGGGCGATTATACTGAGGGATTGTAAATCTTTTCGGTGTCGGAATGTTGTCACTAGTTTGTATTTAATCCTTGTAAATCTATTAAATTTTTAACAGAAAATTCACAAATGACAACAAGTAACAGAGATTTTATATTCAAATGACATAGTAAGCATGTCAAAAAGCGATAAATAGTGGAATAAATTTTTGCATTTATCTACAGTATGGATAGACTCAATGAACCAGAGATTAAAGAAGCCTGTATGAATTATGTGGCAGAGAACTGTTGCTATGGGTCAAAGGCTATCAGAGAAATGATACTGACCGAGATTACCAACGGTTGCACCTATCATGTAAGTTACTGACTGTAAAACCTCCTCTGCAATTTTTTAATTTTTGCCAATAGTACAGAATATTAGAGTTAAATGATTATTTCTGTTTCAGTACATATTAGAGACATTTGGCGAGAAAAGAGTGACAGCCTTCCGCTCTACACCTTATACAGGTAAGTGTATTTAAAATGATTTCTTACGTAATATCATTTAAAGTATAAGTGCATGATAAGTAAGTATACACTGGTGTGCAAAAATTAAGGACGAGACGGATTTTCAATATACTTTGTACAGAAGCTTTCCAAATCAACACATTTAATACCGTAAGATCCCCAATACGTAAGGACATGAGTAATGTAAGCAACACTTACTAAAAGAGAAATCAGAAGGATAAAAAAGAAGCTTTATTGAAAAAGCAGCATGGAGCGCAATGCGACTGAAGGCCGAAACATCCCTGTGATGGGTGTCCAGCAAGAAACATCCGGTCTTTAATATAGGATATGATTTCCCCTGACTGCTAGGCAGGTTTCACAGCGTCTGCCCATGCTGAGAATGAGGGTGTCACTGAGTTGTTGAGGCATTACTGCCCATTCGTCTTGCAGCGCCAATCGAAGCTCCGGAATCGTTACTGGTGGTCAGGTACGAGCTGCCAAGAGTTTGCCTAGAAAATCCCATACATGCTGGATGGGATTGAGATCCGGTGATCGTGCCAGCCAATCCAATACGTTCAATATCCTCACTCTCTAAGAGCTGTTCGGCAGCTACTGTGCGATGACATGGTGCATTGTCGTCCATGAAAAGGAACTGCGGATCCATAGCGCCTCTAAAAAGATGCACATATGGAAGAAGAATCTCGTTACAATAACGGGTCCCGTTGACTGAACCTGCGTCGAAGATGTGAAGGTATGTACGACTACCGAGCATGATGCCTCCCCAAACGAGAACACTGCCACCTCCATTCCTGTCCCTTTCAATGATGTTCGAGGGATGATTGCGGCTTCCCCGCTCTCTCCAGATGAGTATGCGATGAGAATCGCTACTCAGACTGAATCTGCTCTCATCTGTAAAGAGTACTCGTCCCCATTCATTGTCTCTCCGATTCCGGTGTTCCCGGCACCACAGAGACTCCAATGGGCAGGCGTTAGAGGTACACACCGTACAGGGCGTCGTACAAAAACCACCACCGTGCAGTCTTCTGGCCACGGTAAAACGCGATATCGGTCGTCCAGTGGCCTGTGTCGTGTGTCTAGCGATTTCTCCCGCTGTCTGCCGCCTGTTTCTTCTGGCCTGTAAGGCAATATACCGGTCATCTGCGGGTGTGGTTCCTCGTGGACGACCACTACTACACCCTCGGATAGCTGTTCCTGTAGTTTGAAATTGTCTCCAAAGTCGTGAAACGATGCTGTGAGCAATTCCGAACTCTGCAGCCACACTTGTCACACTGCGGCCTTCCTCCAACTTCCCAATGATTCGACCTCGGGTAAAAGTATCCAGATGTCGTCTAACAGATTGATTATTCGCCATTTCTCGCTGAGGCAGCAACTCGGTGTGATTTTAACTGCTATACGGCGTGCAATCTCTTTGCCAGAAATACTGATCTTACACCGACAACATGATTTATACTACTCAGACACTCCCCCATTACGTCTACCTGCATATCTGCGCATGTGCTAGCGTACATCACCTTACTTAATCTCCTGATTGGTCTTTCTGTCCGCTCTGCCTCTTCGTTCAGCTGATATGCTAATTTTTCGAGTTCGTCCTTAATTTTTCCACACCAGTGTACATTGTTTTGAATACAAACATGCTTGTTACGGTAATCTGAATTCGTTTATTTTGAATGGAAAAATGTTCATTTTGTTCTATGATTTGGCAAGATTTTTTAAGTTTAAATAATCAGTTCTTGTCATTAGTTTTTGTTATATTTTGTTTCCTTTCTTTTATTGTCCTCTTTTGCCGAAAAGTATGCGAATTTAACGGGTGTTAAAGAAAACACAGCTACATCGAGGATACATAGATGTAGTAACCGAAAGGATTGAGCTTTATGAGAAATTATTAAGACTTTTATCCACTTGCCTTCGTTTCTCAGCGAATTTATTAAGTAACCAAACAACAAAGACGAAATCATGCCAGAAATGGCAAGTTATTTAAAAAATATTAATCATGACGCGAAGTGATGAAGAAGTTTTAGTTTAATAATTATCTATTTGATACGTCTATTACGTCTTAATTTTTAAAAGGTGTATTTGATAAAGTTTGAAAATAATATTTTCGTACTTTCCGGAAAAATATCTCGAGAAGAGGCGTGATTTAGGGTCAATAATGGATAAGTGTGGTGTCACAATGCACTGTCAAGATCTTCGCGTTTTGGTTTGGCTTAGTTGATTATGGCAAAGCATGCTTGACCTTCTTCCTAAAAGGAAGGGATGCTTTTGTACTTTCAAAGAAAAACTGGCTTGTATTTATGCTACCCGTGGAGAAAACCATGAAAATTTAAATGAAGCCAACCCGTTTGCCTGGAATCGAACCCAGATCGAAATAGTTCAGGGGTCGCTTGAGGACCTCACCTGATTTATCTTACCTTAATTAATTGTCTATAAGTCATTTTAGTTTTTGTAAACGAGGATATAAGTTAACAGCTATTCCTCGGGATTTTTTTTTTTTAACATTTTGATGAAAGACTTGATTAAAACTTGGAATGAACCTGTCTTCTACAGAATAACATGCAGTGAAATATTTTCTACAGGAAAGTTACAGGATCCTGATATGCGCGTAATGAATACAGTATGAGATTGTATTTTAAAACAAATAAATTTAGTTTTGGTTTATTTTGATTACGGCAAAGCACTCGAGGGCTATCTGCCTAAGGAGAGGGATGACTTCGTGGAAGACCCTCTAATGAAAACTGGCTCGTATACACGTTACACATGAAGAAAATCCCCAAAACGCCCATGTAGTCAGCCCGTTCGCCGTGATTCGTACCCTTGGTTAGAATAACCATTGTTCAGCGACTTTACTGCTCGGTAGCTGGTGAGTTGAAAGCAAATAAATAATGGCGATTCGAAAACGGCACATTTTGAGTGCTTCAAAAATTAACCGTATCCGTAACTTGTATTTGTTGATTAGCTTTCTAAATAAAGAATAATCTGATCTTTACATGCCCGTTGGAATGATTTGCGCAATTTCGGCGGGAAATTTCATGGTCAACAGGAATGTACTTAAAAACCGGTCGAATGCATTTGAATTAAACTCACTGAACTCTTTTTTTCCCCCCTGAACTTGTAGATTGCGTTTTAAGGTTGTTTTTAAAGTACGTTAGGATTTGAGGTACTGTTCCGTTTTGAGGACCGTAAAAAATTTGCAGGGAAAATGTATGCGCAAAAGCGCCAAATCTAGCAAACGCGCCCATTTAACAGAGCACCAAATGTAGTGTACGCGCTGATTTCAGATTGCGTAAGTTTATATAGTTCTATATTTCTTAAGAAGCCATTGAAATACTAGTTTAATTTTTAAATCCTTTTTTTTTGATATCCTATGGATTTAACAATTTGGGAATTGCCCATGACGAAAAGTCTGCAACTGAATTTTGGGTAAAGGGCAGAATCCCCTACTGCTTGACGCGTTTTTAAGAATTGCACATATTCGGTATCCAAGTACACATCGACCTATTTTCATTTTAAAAAAAAGAAAAAAAAAAAAACCCAGAAATTGCTCAAAAATGGCACTGCGCACACCCTTGACTTTATCTATGTACACATCGAACTATTTTCACTTAAAAAGTAAAAGAAAACTGACAAAAATCCAATCGCATCCTATGCAGTAGGCAGTTCGGCTTCCGCTCTGGCCTCTCCACACTGCATGCTCTGGAGGAAGTTCGACGGATAATCCACTACAACAAAGAACAACAGCTTCACACGGCCTTTGTCTCAATTGACCTTCAGAGTGCCTTTGACACCCTCTGGTGGCCGGCCATTAAACAAGCTCTCCGCTCATCTCGACGCCCCCGTAACATCTATGGCATATTTGACAGTTACCTCCAGAATCGTTTCCTCCTGATCCCACACAACAACGGGACAACCATCAAACAGCAGGAGAGAGGTTTCCCGCAAGGATCTTGCGCCGGCCCAGTGCTCTGGAATCTAACTTTCAACAGCATCATCTCCACCAACTGGCCACAGCATACACAACTAGTTGCCTATGCAGACGACGTTCCGTTCCTAATCCAGGGTCGCACCAGAAACGAATTGGAACACAGAAGCACTCAAATATTACAAAACTTCTGCTCCCTCTACCAAGAACTCAAATTAACCATCTCCACTGCCAAATCAACCGCTCTAATGATTCCTAGGCCAGGCACCAACCCAAGCAGAAATCCATGTATCAAACTCCAACAGAAAATTCTAAAAATCGTCCTCAAGTATTTAGGCTTAACATGGGACAAAGGCTGGATCCCACATCTACAGCAACTCAAAACTTAAGACACAAGCCATTGCACGCAAGACCCGTCAATTTCCAAGGTATAAATTGGGGACGAAAAGCCCATATATTAACAAGATTTTATACACGACAGTGATTGAACCCATAGTCTGTACGCTGCCGCAATATGGGCGATGCCGATGCAAAGCTGGAAACGTAAACAACTACAGGACCATCCAAAGACCTTTCGCACTAATGATGTGCAAAAGTTTTTCGCACCACACAGCCACCTCTGCGGCCATCCTCCTTGCAGGCATACCGCCACTATATCTTAGAGCCGAGCAAGAAGCTACAATAACCAGAGTCTTGCAACTACGCAAAGACGCCACCTTCCACGATACAACACACAGTCCGACCTTATATTAAAACCCTCGCCCCACCCAACGCCCACACCCAGGCATTCAAGGAAGAAACTTCCATCACCATAAACAACACTAGCAATTCTAGTATTCCCAACGCTAGGTACGTCTACTACACCGATGGATCCAAGGTTGCAGACGGATTCGGTAGCGCCTTTATTTGCTACCACCAAAATGATGAACATACCAGTTGGAAGGCAGCACTGCGGCACTTCAATAGTGTGTTCCAGGCAGAAGCCTTGGCCATCCTCAACGCCACCAACGACATACTAAATAACGGCTACCACCAAGAATGCATCTGTACAGACAGCCAATCTTCACTCCTGGAAATTCAAAACTGAAGCCACACCTCCCCAATTATCTCCGAAATGCGAAAGCTACTCTCTGTAAACCACGAGCAACGCATTCACCTCACCTGGGTCAAGGCGCATGCTGGTCTAGTTGGAAACGAGGCAGCAGACACCCTAGCCAAAGAAGCCATCAGTTCTGAAGTTCAGCAAATCCGTATCCGTGCACCACCATCGCATCTAAAGAGGGCTTCTCAAAGAAGACCTACTCACAAATATGGCAAGAGGAATGGAACGCGTGTGACACCGGACGGCGGACCCTACAATCTCCTACCAAAAGTCTCTGTTATCACGCCTCATAGCTATACTCCCAACTCACCCCGGTTCATAACGGGACATGGCCCCTATCCAGCGTATTATTATAGGCACACAACATCTCCACTGCAGATGCTTGCGTGTGCGACCAACTTGGATCACCAGAACACTATATCTACTCTTGCCCACTCACAGCAGACAACCACATTAAGCATCCCACTCCTCCTACAGACGCCTTTCAACGGTTCATTATTAAAAACAAACCTGCAATCAATAAAATCTGTAAGGTCATTGACCAGCTCGCCGCTATGGGCCAAGATATATGCGACACTGCATAATCCCACAACGTCCGCCACTAACAGAAGTCAACATGCACATCACCCTGTGCTGCTAACATGTCACCGCGCTCGGCATGCTCATACACTCAGCAACCTATGCGCTCCACAAATATATATTCGCCGGACCTCTACGTGTCCCCCATATCAATGTCCAGCAATCACATGTTATTCCCATCTTATGGCCCCTCGTCTGTAAACACACCCCACAATGTACAGTATATGTGATCGATGAGGCCAAATATGTATCTGACATGTGGTATATGTGTATTATTATTTTTTAAGTATGTTTTATTTGTCATAAGTGTTAATCAAGTGTATCCCTCTCCCCCTTTTTTCCCCTCTGCGTGTGTGTTTTCTGTACATTTTCATGTTTTTGTGTTTTCATACATTTAGTACCTAGCTCTGAGCCCCTCACCTGTAAATCCGTCCCACAAGTCTCATACCTGTAATTATGTAATTAGTCAAGCAATGTTAATAAGTCGTCCCTGTTTGGCCATGTAAACTCCTGCACCCTTAATAAGTTTCCGGTGTGGACTCTTGAGGCCACAGGGAGTTGTTGCCATTAGATAGTGGAAGGCGAGGGACACATGCCTGTTTATCTCTGGTAGCCACCAGGCGTCCCCGTCTTCCGTCACCTACCTACCTACCCTTGTAAAAAGCGGCAAACAAATAAGTGAGCGATTCTGCACTTTACTGAGAATTGTTTCAAGGAAAAGGCATCATTTATTATAGAAAATTATGTTTTGAACAAACAACGAGATGAAATTATACTTTAGCGATAACTCGGTAGCGAAATAGCAATGCAGGAATCCATTCAGTTATGTTTAGCAATATTTATATAAATTATAATAATGATCTGAAATAGTTATTTACTCTTATGCTTCATTCAGTCATGTTAGCTTTTTTTATATAAATTAAATAATAAAAGTATTATATGAAATTAACTTTTCATCTAAATTAAAACATCAATCTTAGATAGTTATTTATTATTATACTTCCTTTCTTGCATTAGGGTTGCCGCAATTATTTTTGGCAGCACTGGCATCAACAATAGTTTGGCGATTTTTTTACGGCCCTCAAAACCGAATAGTACCGGATTTAAGATCGAGTTTCGTATCATTCTATGAGCTGTAAAGATCAACAAAGATTTTAGCTTCGTTTCAACTGTGTTGCATTGCTTGCATTAGTTATCGATATGTATGATAATTGCCAACAATAGCAAGGCCCTTCATAGTACTGGATTTGAATTATTTGAATAATGGCAAAGCACACACGGGTTTCTACTTAAGGAAGGTTGACGTCGTGGGCAATATTGTAAGGAAAACTAGCTCGTATCTATGTAACACACAAAAATCATGAAAACTCCGATGGAGCCAGCCTATTCATCAAGATCTTTCTTATTATGAGCTAGTAAAACTGTATTACAAGTGGTTAGAAATGCCTAGGATTCAAACTTAAGCAAAATTCAACTTTACATTCATATTGGTTTTGTGATCAAAATACATATTTCTCTGGATATTGATGCAGAGGGCTATTTCTCTTTAAAATATAAAAATTATGTTGTGGTAGGATACGCATCATTTAAACACTAATCACGTCCTTAAATATTTCACACATTTTTTTAGACGACTTTGCTTTGCTATAAAAAATTACCTACTTGTAAAATTTCTTTTTAATTACAAATATATTTTCGAAAGTGTAAACTACCATCTGCTATTTTAAAATTTTGTTTTTAAGAAAAATGGGGCTTTTTAAGATGCACTGGAAGGAAGGCTGTGTTTGTGGTTTTTCAGAAGAAAATTATTCGTATTTAGTTATTAAAAAGTGCTGTGAAAGCCATGGTTTTTCGGTAATTTCGATCTCTTTTTCCATCGCTGTTTCAACCATTTTCTTTCCTTAAAATGTATTTAATACAAATCTTTGAATTTTATTCACAGAAGGAAGGAAAAACCCCGACTCTTGAGAAATCTCGAAGTGAATAGCTCGAAAATTCTTTCGGTATCGTAGAATATCCATAAATTTTGTTTTTTATTTGTATATTACATGGAATAAAATCTATTTTTGCTACTTACGTATTAGCGCAACCACCATGGCGCAATTTGGCGATTTTTTACAGAAGAAAAAGTTGATTCTGTGAATTTTTCTGATTGGAACTTATGATAGATAACATGGTTGCCAGAGTTTGGCGATTTCTGAAAAACCTGGCGACTTTTACTAAGGTAGTTGTGATAATACGTAAGTACCATTATTCTTTAAAGTAAAAGGTTGTCTTGCGATAACAATCTATTCTTTTTACTAATTCCCCACACATTGATGTCGAATAGTTTCTCAATGTATTTATTTGCTTTCAAATTCCATATGAACGGGCGATTCTTTTAATCTTCTTTATTTTGAAGATACGTGACTGATAACGCACAATATAATACGCTACATTATATCTGTTCCTCGCTTTCAGAATCGTTACTTGCCCACCAGCGGCCGAGCGGTAAAGTCGCTGAGCACTGGTAGTTCGGTCCGAGGTTCGAATCCCGCGAACGGGCTGGCTGCATAGGTGTTTTCGTGGTTTCCCCATGTGTGACGTGTATACGAGCCAGTTTCCCTTAGAAAGGCCTCCACGAAGGCATCCCTCCCCTTAGGCAGATAGCCCTCGTGTGCTTTGCCATAGTTAAATACACCAACACGCCAGAATCGTTACTTACCTCCCGAATGTTTTTTTTTTTTTTTTGCCAAATCTTGAAAGCTTTCGTTGGTCTTTAAGAAGAAACCTTTATTTATTCTTCGAGTTTTAAAGGGATGATTGTTAAATCAATCAGTTGGATAGCTGGAAAATGTTTATTTATTCAATCGAACGTAATAATACAATTGCAATTAGGCCATTATAGTTTATCAATAATTATAACAACTTGATAATGCTGATGGTGATGGAGTCAGAGCAAATTGAGAGCCATTTTTTATTTAGATTTTGGGAAAAAAAGGCATTGTTTCCAATTAGAATTAATAGAAGTCTTATTATTCTATGTCTGATATTAAAATACGATTTGTACGAGTAAGGCTAATATCACATTCTATTTGTAGGCCAGTGGATAGATGGTCCAGAAAATGGTGTGCCACCTAGACCCTGGGACGTAGTTGTCCGAGAACCTCAGAGTTTTGCGGATAGCCAAATGAAATTGGAAGTCCCACATACGGCCTCAGTGAAGCAGTGCAGCACCTGCGTAGGTAATTGTCGTGTAAGATGTGAATCTTGTCACGGCAGAGGAGGGGTGAGTTTTACAGACTCTAATTTTAAAATCACTTTTTTCTTTTGTTAGGAAATGCGATTCGTAAGATTCTCTCTTGGTCTGAATTAGAAAAAAGTAGAGTTGTTAATTGAATAGAAAACTGGCCATTGTTAAAGGAAGTTTTGTAAATATTATGGCTCTAAATCTTCGATTTTTATGTAAATAATTTATGATTTTTTTTCAGTGATCTTATTTAAGCATTATTATAAAATTTTTTAATGGTAACATATAACAACATATAATTTTTTATGCAACAAAACATCACTGTTATTAAATAAATAAAACTCCTTCCTCGTGTTCCACTAGTAGCAGAGTGGTTAAGAACACTGAAGACTAGAAGTTCTATCCGGGTGCGAACCAAGTGAACGGATTAACTGCATGAAAACTTTAAAAAAACTTTAAAAAAAGTTTTCCTCGCTTGTAACATGAATACGAGCAGGTTTTTCCTTAAACGTCGTCCAAGAAGGCATTCACTTGGGTTCGATTCCAGGCGAACTGTTGGCTGCCTGATTATTCTTGTGGCTTTTCTCATGTATAATGTGTATACGAGCCAGTTTCCTTCAGAATATCCTCCACGGGGGCATCCCTCAGCTTTGGTAGATAGTCCTAATGTACTTTACCACAGTCATCTGAAGCAAACCAACCAAAAGGGCAATCCTTTCCTTAGGTAGATAGTTTACGTGTGCTTTGCAATGTTCCATTCTACTAAGCCAATAAATAAATCCCTTGTGCATTTACTAATTAATTGTGTTATATAACAATATAACATAATATATTTCAAATGTATTATTTACTTCTTGACATCATTTCTGTGTAATTTCTATAAACAATGTTCATACCAAATTTGTAGTAGGTAAAGTTGTGTATATGTGCAACATAACAAAACTTTTCAACCAATACTGTATCAATCACATGACATAAGAGTTCGAGTAACGGTGCGAGTTGAACATACACTAAAACAATTCTAAATCACAAAACATCCTAAACTATAGAATATTGCGTTGTGTAACATAATGTCGGGCAGTAACCCATTCAAATACTATGGTCCAGTGCAAAAGTCAAATAATTAAAATAATTACAAACTAGGTAGGTAAAATCAACTAACGTTTATTTAAGGAGGTAATAGTAAGAATACAGTTACATTTTAATTTGGTGGTGACCGGTCATCTATATATCTAATGAAACAACTGAAAATTACATACCTTCTTTAAATATTTAACAATTCAACGTTCCCGTTTGGGAGGCATCATACAAAATTTTGGTTACTTGATACAGGCGAAAACTCAGACAAGATACTGTCACGATGCAGGTAATAATAATTAAACTTCTGAAGATACATCTGCAATCTACAAGAAAGAAAAAAAAACAATATGAGAATTAATAATGGGCAACTCTTTCGGTGGTCCGGCTTTCCACCCCACAGCCGCTTCCAACCGGTAGGTCTTCGGACTTCTCCAAAACACCGGCCATACTGAAGTCAGTAAATACTCAGGAATTCTTGATTCAATACGCCTTCCTTCTGTGTAGGTTGTTTAATCGTTCATCACACCAGGGACTCCGGACTGCTGGTCTCCGCTCTGCCTCATAGAAGTCATCTCTCGTTCCTTTTTCTTCGAGAAAATTGCTTTCTCCCTCCTTGGCTCCGTCAGAAGAAAAAAGGTGTAATCGAAAATCTTTTCTCCGTATCCCCTCTCGAAAACACTGCGCAGCCACTTTAATAGCTGACGCGTTTTTTGAAAATTTGGCGTAGAAGGTGAACAGCAACCAGCCAAGTCCTGCAACCCAAACAGAGAAATCTTCACGGGAAGGGGTTTCCCGATTACCAGAAGAGCCAGTTAGCGCAGTTCAAACATTCGGCCTCCAAGGCCACACCGAAGTGTCAACAATCTCCGCAGACGAAAACAAGGGGGAGGGCATCTAGCCTCGCATCGAGGTCCACCTCGACCATGTAGAGCTTCCTACCTAACGATTATTTACCCCTCCTCCCAAATTCGCTGTAGAACCTTTCCCTGCTAGCTCTGTCCAGCAAACGGGGTCCCCTATCAGTGAAACTCCAGATGGTGTATACATCCAGCACGTCATCCGACATGTGGTTTTTCGTTTGGGCGAAAGAATTTCGGGGTGCAGTAATCCTCTGATAAGGGATTCTGTGAATGAATTCTAAGCCGACGGTTGGAATGTGAAAATTTTCAGAACCAAGTCAACACAAACGACTTTGGGAAATTAAAAATTAAACTATTACATAACAATATAATTCATAAAAAAAGTCAACACTATATAAATTGTTTCTTCAGCAGCATCTTAAGTATAAATACTCTTTACCCAGATTGAATTTCAAATACTATTGATTGACCTTATCGCCAGTCAGAAAATATGTATTCGACAACTTTAATAGAAAGAGGGGTAACAAAAAATTAAGTTAAAGAAAATTAACACACTAAAAGTGCAGCAAACAAAACTTTAAAATAATAATTAAAGTTAAAAGTTAGACAATCTTAAGGGTCCAAAACAAAGTACAAAAACCAAGTAAACTTAAGTCCCTAAACTCAAATCAAACTAAAGAACTTCAACTCAAAACTTTTAAAGCAACTAAATTTTAAAGTTTACAAAAGTTACAGTTTAAACTTACAACAACTTTAACAACTAAAGCAAAAAATTTAGAACTTCAATTACAGATCAAAACTGAAATAGTAAGCAAAACTTAAGCTTGAAAATAATAGCAATTAATACATAACAAATCGTGTGAGCTTTATTGTCCAAAATCATGTAATTGTTTGTTTGATGCACCTGTGAAAGAAACTATGGAACTACGAGATGTTCCAAATTTCTTTACACGCTAAAGATATACTTCAAAAAGCAAATAACGAGAATACGTATTTACGAGAATTATTAACTCATTGGACTTTTTCATTATCAAACAACATCAGATAAAAATATTTCTGCAGAAACGTATAGATACTCCGATGCCTATTAGTCATATTAAACGCGTTATTCTTATCTCATGTAATAGTACTGTTGTTTTTATTGTAAATGCTGTCAACGAGAATTTTTTTAAAATTTGTCATTCTATCACTTTTCATTTACTCAGATAACTAAGTTAGAGGCTGTTCGCACACTTTTTAGACATTCTTGCTTTGCTGTAAAAAAATCTTCTGCTCGGAATTTTTTTTAACTGCAACTGTATTTTTGAAAGTATAATGTCAACAACAAAGTTAAAAAACCTCAACATTTTTCAAGTGGAAAAATTGTTCCATATACGTATCAAAGGAAAACACGGAATGTTTCGAATGTTGCAAAAGTAAGATCTTTAATACTGAAAAAAAAAAAAAAAAAAATCCGTCATGCCAAAGGAGGGTCACAAAATCATTAAAATGCTCAGTGTCAACTGTAAACAAAGTGATTAATGCTTTTTTGAATCATAAAAAGGTGAAAACCATACTGTGCATCGTGTTCTCCCCCATATATCGCCGGACGCAACACGCTGCAGAATTCTGTGTGAGAAAGATTTATCCAGACAAAAATGGAAAATGTTTTCACAGTAGACTAATCTTGGATGTAAGCAAATAACTGCAATAAAAAAAGATCCATTTATTATCATCAAAGGGAGGAAAGGTGTTAAAACATGGTTCAAGGAATCTAAAGACAGTTTTTCGAAGGGATTTTATCATTGTTGCTGGGTTTTCCTATAACAGTAAAGTAGAAATAAAGAAGGGGGGATGTTAAGACCAACTACACATATTTTTTATCAGAAACATATTTTATATCCAATTTTTAAATACGAAATATCTTCTCTTTACACACAGTGTGATCAAACAGCAGAACTGCATCAAGACAAAGCAAGTAGTATCTGTTAATTTCTACTGTTAATTTCCTAGAAAAAATGAAACAAGAAACGAGTATCAAGGCCATTCGATTCTTTCATATCCGTTCTAAATCTCCTGATGTATCATTCCTGTTTGCGCTTTGAGACTTGGCGAATTGTCCAAACGTCGACCTACAATCCTCCATGTATTGCGGAAAGTTGTTCAAGAGAAAAGGGATAAAATATCTCTCTCAATATTAAAAATGGCTTTATTGTCTTGGAAATTAAGAAGTGGAAAGATAGTGAAGAATAGGGGTTATCAAATGGGACATTTACAGCATAAAACGTTAGGTAAACTATTTCTTTAATTACAATGAAAATTGTCTAAAAATGTGCTAACAGCCTCTGTATACGCATTTCTTATGTTCAAACAAATACTACTTCACTCTTAAGTAAGCTGATAATGAAAAAGTATTTTTCCTTTGCGAAAGTATCAAGTTGACTTGTACATCTTTCTAAAGAAAACTGATTGCCGCGTTTTATCCTACGGTGGAAAAAGAACGAAAACATTATTTTAAGTAAATAGAATTATTAAGAATATTCAGTGTGTGAAACTTTTGTTGGTAAAGTATCTTCAGTCGCTATTCAGTTCAATTATAAATCTACATTTTAAATGTTCATAAACAGTCTCAGTATTGTTTTTGACTCCGTGGTGCTTTACCTGAAGTAGACGTATTATATCTTTGGGCATCCCCTCACAAGGAAAGTCAAGATGATTAAATTAGTGGAATTAAGGCAAAGCAATCGAGGGCTACCTTCCTGAGGGGATAAATGCCTTCGTGAATGATGTTTATAAAAAAACTTGGATTTTACACACATCACTCATAAGAAGAAACACGAAAATTCCCAAGGAGTCAACCGTTAGCCAGGATTTGAGTCCAAGTCGTACTGCCAGGGTTCAGCGCCTTTACCGCTCGATCACTGGTGGGCACTCTTGCTGCAACTGATATGAAGGCAGATACAAACTTCAGAGAATAACAATCAATTGTATGCCATTTTATTTGTGATTGGTAAACACTTTTCGCAAGAAATCAGAAAAGGAGATGTCACTACCAAAATATTCCAGTAAGTTGTTCGCAGTGCATTGGTGGTTACTGGTTAAACTAACTGTTCAAATACGCTGTGGAAAAATTCCTCGTTTGTATTGTCTTGCTCATTTCGCACTTGTGAATGACTGCTCCGTCTTGCTGCTATATAAAATTCTGCTCCGTCTTGCTGCTAAATGAAATTCGGCTACAGATAATAAATTTTAATGGGTAGAAAATTAAAAAAATGCATTTTCCATCATGACTAAGTTCATTCTTTCTGTACAGTTGAAAAATCTCAATAGAAAATTGAAAACATTTTTAATTACATAAACGTTGTTCATTGCCATAGCAGTATCAATAAACCATTTTTTCCTATTGCAAATACTTTTTTATAATTGTATTCTTTAACACATACTGCTTTTTATATTGAAACTATTTCTATATCTTCCTTTTAGGAAACCTGTTGGAGTTGCACTTTCGGGAATGATAACGGACGGCGATGCACAAGTTGCTCTGGCACAGGTCGTAGAGTGTACGTAGCACACATAACTTAATTATTTCTACGGAAACGATTGTTTTTTAATGCATCAAGAAGCCTTTCAGATGTGATTGTTTACATTCATATAAGTATTTGGGAAATGGATTCGTTACAGCAATCACAAAGATGTACACTGCGGGGGGGACCGTCTACTGGTCCAATTGACGAAATTCAAATATCGCTTTTCATGCATCGAAAGCGCGACTTCGGATATATATTAGATTTATATATAGCATCATTCTAACATAGTTATTTTGACTCCAAATAGGACTTTTTCTGAAATAGCATACCAATTGTTTTCCATATTTCGATTATATGACTCAAATGATGTCTAAATATTAAATTTGTAAAATACGGTAAGAAATTTATGGAGAAATTTAAAAAGTTATCTTGGTGAATGTTTTTCAGTTTGCGCCAAGGTGTGTTGGTGTATTTAATTATGGCAAAGCACACGAGGGCTATCTGCCTGAGGGGAGGGATGCCTTTCGTGGAGGACTTTCTAAGGGAAACTGGCTCGTATACACGTTACACATGGGGAAAACCACGAAAACGCCCATGCAGCCAGCACGTTCGCGGGATTCGAACCTCGGACTGAACTACCAGTGTTCAGCGACTTTACCGCTCGGCCGCTGGTGGGCCAGTTTGCGCCAAGAATAATTCACTTGGTGAACTTCTTAATTTATAGCAACCTATTTTACTTTCCTTTTTCTTCATTGTAGACGAGCAGGAAAAAAGTCATCCTTCATACTTTCAAATAATCTTAACAAAGTGCTTAAACCACATTTGGAGTTATTATAGGTAAAAAAAAAGATGCCAAATTTTAAAACGCTCCAATATGTAAATTCATGTATATCTTAGAAAATTTTGAATAAAAAACTAATTTTTTGCAGGTATGCCTAGAAATACATCTACATTAAGACGATGTTAAGCATTTTATAGGTCATAACACAAAACCTTTTTCGAAAAATTTATAAAAAATATTTAAAAATACAAATTTTAAAAAACCAATCATAAAAAATGAGTGAATTATGTTTGTATTAAAGCATAAATTTCGATTTCTGGAAGAGGGAGTCAGATAAGCTTAATATAAAAAGAGATATTAATAAATATATATCAAATTCAATTAGCATTGAGGAGCTAAAATTTTGAGAGCTAAATTTTTAAAAACTACTCGTTCGATTTTTACAAAACATGGTAGTTTGGCATAATTTCAGTCGTAGAATCGAAATATGGAAAGTAATTGGCATGTCATTCCAGAAGAAGTCCGATTTTCTGCCAAAATACGTATATTAGAACAACGTTATATATATATCTAATATATATCCTAAGTCGTGCTTTTGAGACATGGAAAATGCAATTTGAATTTCGTCAATCGAACTAGTAGAACGGGAGATACAGAACTGTCCTTTTTCCTCCCCCCCCGCAGTATACCGTTTATTTCGATTTTCCCTGCATATAACGTGAACTCATATATACGCCCATTATGCATATACTTGCACTTACATATACACGCTATTATAGGTAATTTCTTCTTTTGAGCTGCTAATTGTATTCTGCTTGTTTTCTTTTATTTCTGTAAATTTTTTTATTAAAATGCATGAAAATGTCTTTAAAGTTCGCTGTAAAATGTATGAGAGCATAATTTCTTCATCCTGCGAAAATATTTCATTATTCCTTTGAGGCATTCTTAACTTTCGTTATAATGAAAGTTTAATTCTTGCTGTTCTTCTTTTTCGAGGAAGTATTTGAATGTTTCATAGCTAATTTATTGACTCTACTTTTAGATGCTGGTCTTGTAATGGCACCGGGCAGGTGAGATGCCGCACTTGTAAGGGTCATGGGAAACTCAAGCATTATCAACTACTTGTCGTTACATGGTGAGTGAAGCTACAATGTGGTAATGAAATGCTTACAAATGAACAGAAATTAATGACATAATAAATAAAACAAGCTAAGTTATAATTTCAGCTCTATAATAGTTTATGAAAACTGTCTGAACTGTTGTATGAGTATTTACAGCTTTACTTACAATTTTCATTTATTAATTTTGATTGCATTACTTTTTATTTTAGCCCTAAGGGGACGTTAGTCTCTAATGGGATATTAGTTTAGAAATGGCATTTTGCGTTGAGTCACTATAAACGCCGTATCACTTTTCAAATTATTACCAACAGATATTATCACCCTGTATTATATTTTAAAAAATTAAATAACGAAGAATCAGCGTGAATGTGTTAATGTATGCATGTTTTTTTCATTGTGGAAAAACAGCGGTACCTAGAGCCATAATATTGTGATTAACATAGTTTTCCATCCGAACATGGGTACCTGGAAGCCCGAATTTTGAATTTCGAATTTGTTTATCATCTATTTCATATTTTGTAAAACTTTAATGAATTTTTGATCAACAAACTGAACGATTTCAAAGCGAGCAGTGACAACACTGTACGTAAAGAAACATTTTCATCTCCAGCGCGAGAGACTATCTATCGGAAAATCTAAACATATACTGTTTTTAAATATTTTGCGATTTTGCTCTTGATCAAACTTTATGTGGCGTAAGCGTCAAGAACGTGATATTTCATAAATAAAGTAAATACAGAAAAAGGGAATATTAAAAAGACAGAAAAATTTGTAAAGCCCTCTGAGTAAGAAAACTGAACATTGATATGATAAACGGAGAAAAGATGGAGAAAATCAGAAAATTTTTGCCAACGGTTAACGCTTCATTGGGAATTCTTAACGTATATTGTTATAGGGCTTTTTAAATTTTTGTAATTTTGCTGTTGAATTTATATGGCGTAAGCGGGAATAAAATGACGCTTAATAATAAAGCTAAAAAGACAAAAAAATGGGTTACCAGGAGTGAGAGTAATAGCAGACTTGCAGACTATGAGCTCAGCGAGAACGTCAAAAACAGTAACAGACTCTTTTGGGAGACAGTTGAAATCTAGAACCTTTCAGATTTTTTTTTCATTAACCTGAAACGCAAAGTAATGATATGAATCTCTTTTATAGGAAGAACCATATGGACGACTTCATTTCGCATACGGGAAACTTGCCGAAAGAACTTATTCGGGATGTAGCAGGAAGAGAAATTTTCAGGGAAGAATATGTTACGGTATGTGTATTTAAAACATGCAGAGATTTTATCTATTAACAAATTCAGCTAACAGCCTTGTCATGCATTAAAGTTGACTAAACAGTCGAATAACAAGAGTCTCACTTTCCCTTACTAAACCTAACTAGGATTTAAAACTACAAGGGGATCCAAAAGCCCCGCACTCCAAGTTTTGAAAACTTGAGGAAATTTCGAAAGGGACATTAATGGCAAATTATTTCAAGTAATATATCACTTAAAATTTCAGTTGAAATTTACGCTGTTTGCTTTAAAAACCCTTTATTTGCTGCAAGATAGAAAAACTTTCCCTAAGCAACGAATTTCCTTTTCTGAGCATTACTTTGCAATACCTTTTTATGCAAAATTTGTTGAAGCGTTTAAAGAGACAGCTTCAACATTCTATTTCCAAATATGTTGCTGTGACTTATCTCCCTTTTCTAAGAATAACATTAAAACGAGACCATGAAATTCCTCGTGGCAAGGAGTGCAAGTTTGCTCCTATCATTGGCAGGAGCTTTGAGCACCATACAGGTGACAGTACGACTTTGTTCAGTTCCGCCCCCATTTTTAATGGAGAGAACTCCTGGGAGGACGGGTCCGAGGGCCTCCTACTCCTATTTCCCTACCAGGAACCTCTCTAGAGGAATTTCAGCTAGCCGCATATTTAGAGTCCTCCACCCCATGCCAAACAGACATTACATTTACAAATATCCGTGCATTCTCCGGGATTCGAATCCGGGCCTTTCGCTACGGCAGTCAGAGTCCCACTATCCCGGTTGGGCGGGATATTAATTATTCAAATATTCATGAACCTAACAGGATAATGATTTTTTGTTTTGTAATCTGATTCGAGAAAATTGAAGTGAATGGGTCATTTGTCTCCTCCGTGCTCGGAAAAAATGCGTGAAGTTGGTAATAAAATATTACGGAGGATGGCATCCTAATCAGATTTAAGAATTGCGAGTTAATGCTGAATCATGAAAATTTGTTTTGTCTGGTAAAAGTTCCTCTTCATCCTGCACCAAACAGACTGCTTTAAAATTCGTTTCACCTTGCAAAAGTTAAATATCCATATATCGTGATGTTTGTGTTAGGTGTGGTGAGCTCATCATTGTTTGTGTTAGGTGAGGTCTGTGTCCTGATAATTGAGAAGGGATTATATACACAAAAAAGAACTTGTTGAAACGCAGTCACTTTATTTATAATCTTTCTTATGTTAATATGAACTTCCTTTTATTCACCATAAGGACAAAAATATGTGATCGGTGACATGAGGTGGCTTGCCTCTTAAGATAAAGATTTCCAGTCGCAGGAGATTACCAAGGAAAGGATAATCGACACTGCGTTAGAAGATATCAACGAATTATAGGTTCTACAGATCCCGCAAGAGCAATCAACATTGGTTCTGATGTTCAGCGGTCATGAGCACGATCAACGCTGGGTAGAAAGCAAAGCTAGGAAAAAACACACTGGCGAAAATAAGATAGGGAGACACTTCATAAATAAAGAAGAAGAATTAAAGAAATATTTTAGAAAACAAATCATAACTTGCAGAGAAAATTTCTTCTTTTCAGTAATTTAATCTACATTGTAAATATACATTTGTTTAAAATTCTTTTGACTTTAAAGTAAATGATGATGATGATTTTATTTGAGCACATATTTTTTTCTATTCTGAACTAGGTAAACCCAATCAATCACGCGCCAGATTCTGCTGTAAATGCTGCTTCCAGCCGGCTTGTAGCTAAACACCAGACGGCATTTCCTACAGAATTAATCCGCAAACAGGTAAAATGAAAGATTCTGTAATTTTGCCATGTACGACTACAGCCATCTTAGAAGAAGGGCTTTTTTTTATCGTCCCACCATTGACATCCTTAAAGTGGTTTTAGAATTGCATGTCTCAATATTTTTGGAAAGACATCAAATAACTAAAAATTAGAAATTGAACAGACGTGAGTTTCCATGTGATTTTCATAATCAGGTATGCAGACGATTAATATTTTCATATAGAAACAGGAAATTAAAGAATGCAACCTTAAAACTCTAATCACTAATTCAAATTAAATTTAGTAAAACGAGGGTCTTTATACACCGATTCATTCAGTTATCTTATTAAAATCAAAGCTCAAAAACTGCAATACCCTTAAACATTTCCTAAATGTGAGAAATATATCTGCTTTGTTGGTTATTTTAAAAAAGGAAGAAAGATACAGAATGAAACACTTTGAAATATTTACACTGATAACATTTACCATGTAAGTAAGAAAATTGCTGTAATAAATGAGAAAAGGACATTTAATTTAAAAGGGTTAATAGATATCGTTGGTACATATATCCTTTTATAGGAAATTGTTTCACGTGTGTTATCGTACAACGGAAATGATTCTAAAATATAATATTGTAAGGATAGATATAAGCTTCTGAGTGTAACGAAAGTTGTAATTTCCTCCGCCGAGTTTCAAATCTTTCAAAGATAAAAATTAGTAATACAATTATGTAATAAAATGGAAATATATGAGTTTTTACATGTAAATAGCTTTTAGAGAATTACTGTTTTTTATTACCTTAGGGCAGGAAAAGATCTGTTCATATTGTTGATGAGACGGACTCCTACACTTGATCCACACTAAGGCGGATTTCCTACACTTGAGTTTGTTCACATTGATGGAAAAATTTACATACCTGTATTGATTTATAAGCAGTATACAAGAAAAAGAAATATAGAAAAGAAAAAAGAATAAGACATAACTTTTGAAATAAGCTTCAAAAATTGGTTTCTGGTAAATTTCTGCGACGAAATCTTGGCTAAAGAAACCTGTTCCCACATTATTCTCTTTCCCAGTATATTTACAAGTCTATCTTCATTACTTTAGATTTTATTCATTCTACGTTTTATCTTATAGTGATTCTGTAGAAAAGAAAAAAAATGATGGCTTTTGGTTTATGCAAATCTTCATAATTTTTGTTTTATTTTTCAGAGGCATGTTTTGCGGGCCGTACCTCTAACGACAGTTAAGTATATATGGAGAACCAAAAACGGAGAATTCTTTATCTACGGTTTCCAAAAGAAGGTTTACTTTGAAGACTATCCCCAACCTTGTTGCTGCTGCACATGTTTATAATTTTTATAGAATAATCAAAACCAAGTCTTACCCACCTGTATACTTTCATTGGAAGATAAACGTGGGAAAGCTTGCCAATTCAATTTGGCAGCAGAAGTTCACAATTTCATACTTGCGGCGGTTCTAATATAAAAAGTTAGAATATTTTTATAAAACGAATAACTCATGATTACCAGTATTGGAATTAATCAATCGAAAACACATTTTGAAGAATTCGAGCATAATAGACTATCATGAGCACCACACACTATTCTGAGTAAATATATGCAACTATGTCTTAATGATTTCTGTGTCTTGAACGACTACAGACGAGGTTTTACGAATGAAAATTCAACTCAGAGATTTAAGTTATATTACAGGGTGCATTAGAAAGCCTTAATCTATTAAATTATCATTAGATTAAAATTTTGCTGCTGCGTAATACGTACTTGCAATGTATTGCGGATTCAAAATTAAGCACCAGCAGGTTGGACGAAGAATTATCAACTTATTTCACACTGAAAGAAAGGCAAAATCAATACTTTTGCTTGGTTTTCGTTTAAAATATAATGAAAAATGATATCAAAAAGTAAAGTTACATAGAAAGGTCTTTAAATATGACACCGAATCTTTTGCTGTCACTGTACGTGGCAATGTAATTAAATGAATATTTTTTGGTACTGTACGAAAGTTATCGGCAATTGTAAATAACAAATCAATAAAATATGCGTGCATTTGTAAGCAGGATTTATTATTTTTCATTTAATACTTGAGACGTTCATATATCAAGAGGAATTTAACAGTTACAAAATTTATTGAATACAATGAGACGACTTTATTCTGTTTTTCTATGAAGTCACTTGCAATTACAATACTTTTGTTTCAGCCCCGAAAAGGTTTCTTAAGGCTAGACGGATAAGAATCTTCATAGTCATATTCATCCAATATTGCACAGAATAAATAACTTGCTCGTGAGATTTACGCATCAATTTAAACACTCACCCAGACTTCTTCAAAAGATTTGCACCAATCGTACATTTTAGACCATGGAGGTCTAAATGCCATCCAAACCCCGGCCATCCAACTGCCTAACCCTCGCTGATGCCAATGCAGTTGCCAGTCAGAGACTAATTGGTCAAGTTAAAGGAAACTCCATCCCGGAATTGAACTGTGACAGAGCCATATCGATTATCATAATCAGACTTAGGAAAAATCACTAAAAAGGGATGAGGATTTCTGCAGACGGACAGCGTAGTTACATCAACATTTGTCCTCATTGCCCAGATGACATCCCACTGTCTCGCCATCACATCTTCAGCTGCCCAGCAATCCAGGCCAGACTGTTTAACATTGACATTGAAGACCCAGTGGACCTGCTTTGTACTGATAGAGCTGCCGGCGTTGCAAGAGCTGTCTTTGACAGCGTCGAAGCTATATAATTGCACTTTGTCATAGACACGACATCATCAGACCATGGAGGTAGGAAGTAAGAGGAGAGGGCGTAACTGGTTTTCCCCATACACTGCTTTGAAGCATTGGCGATCCATTCATGGAGACCAAAACATTCAGCTACTTATCATTAAGATCAATGGGTTTTGACACGATCGGATGTAAACATTTTGTAATCACGTCATAAATATGCATATAAGTGTATGTACTTTCTTTTACTACAATATTTCAGAGTCTAAAGTATGTGAAAAGAATACATTTTTAAACAAAATTTCATTCTGAACGGAATTAAATACTATAGTTTTTCACAGAACAATTTGCTCAGAACAGTTTAATTTCAATGAAATAATTTCTCAAGTTTTCGTTAATTATATTAGAAAAAACTTTTAAGGTAATTCTATTTTATTCGGTTAAGGGTTACAAAAATTAAGAGTTTAAGTTTAAATTAAGAGAACGAAGTTAATTTATATTATTAATATAAAAATTACGCATTATTTCTTTTGTTTTTACAGAGCTTCTTCCTAAAATACGTCTCAAATATGACATGATTTTTTAGCTTCTGAGGCATCTTTTAAATCGAAAATTTGAGTCAGTTTATAATTTATGCTCTATTCGATGCTGATTTCCATGTACTTAACTTTCTCTGAATATTCCTGAAAAGGAATAAAAAAAGGATTTTTTAAAAATATTATTTAAAACTGGTAACTGAGGTAACTGAGTTATTATAAAATGCAACGGAATAATTCTTTTAATACTTATCAGATTTTTTAACCCTTCATTTCAACAATACATATTCTAAAGCTATTCTTTATTACTTCCTTAAGTACGCATCTCATAGAATTTGCTTTACAATACCTTCTAACAGATTGCTTTCCAGTACGAACAATTCTTCCTTAAATAGTTTTATAAACGTATTTGTCAACAGAATTTCAGTTTATGTTAACTGTTAATGTTAAGGTTATTATATATTTAGATAATATTTATAATAATTATTATTTTTATATTTTTATATTTTATATTTTACTTTGATCAATTGATTAGTATTTTACTGTGTTTTAAAATCTACTTTATTCGTTTAGCATATAGCTTACTATTTTTATTTTACGCCGTTCAATTGATTTATTTTTTTTTACTGTGTTAAAAATTACTCAATTTGTTTAGCATATAGCTTACTTTTTAATAATTTTACTTGTAAATATTTAAATATTGTATTTTTTTCCTCTTTCACACATTTCGTAGCAACCAAATATGCTTATGTTGAAGTTTTCACGGAACCACAGTTTTTGGTAACTTTTTAGCGTGCGTACTAAAATTTATTTTCTAATTTATAATAATTATATATAATTAATAACTAGATTTCTTCATAGTGACTTTCACAGGAGTTTATGAATGAATAAATCCTTCATTTTCAAATACTTTATAAATAATGTAATAAATATTTATGTATTTTGTTACAGGTACATGCTTTTTGCAAGCATATCCATAAATACCCATACATATTTCCTATTTTTCATTTTCGGCATGTGCAAATCTTTAATTTCTGTGCTTTCACTACAATTTCCGAGTAAAGTAATTTACAATAATTTAGCATATACCAGACATTTGTACATAAAAATATGTATAACTATACTTTGAATGAAAATTAAATGCATTATTTTTAATACCCACTCAAAGGTTAGTTTTTATTCGAAGTTCCTCCACGATGGCATTACTCCCTTTAGTCAGATAGCCCTTGCATGCCTTACTCTATTTAATAAAAAAAGTAACCCGACCTATGTGCCTAATTACAAATTTTTTAACGTGCATTATTTTATATTTACATTTAGTCATCAAGTTTCAAACTTTTGACTTAAAACATGTTTCAGGATACATTCGTTATCAAATTCAAATCTTCTAGTAAATATATTTTGGCAGAGCATTCAATACCTCTTTTAGCGATTTTACAAAGTTTAATAATTCTCTGATAATATAATAAATAATAACTATCCATTTACCATTTAAGCATCAAACTCATTGTTATCAGATTGCAATTCATAACACAATGAATGTTCTTTTTATGCGAAAGTGCCCGTTTTTCGATGTGTATGGAACTGTCGTGTGTCGAAATACTATTAGAGCTGTCAAGAGACCGTCTAGATGTAAACAAAAGACACTCCACCAAAGCCTGGGAGCAGTGCTTTACTCGTACTGAGGGTTTGGCCCCTCCTTTCATTCTTACCTCCATGTTTTAGACTGAGGGAGAAGTGCACTAGAAGCATGGAGGTAGGAAGTGAGTTTACTTTTACCTCTATGCACTAGGAGAAAGGGGCACCCAGACCTGGCTAGTTCGAGGCTGCCTTATGGCTAGTTCGAGGCTGCCTTAACACAAGGCGATCCAAGAGACTGCTAACCTATTGATGGAGCCGACTAAACCCAGCCGTCAGGAACACTCAGCAACTCAATTCCACGTCCCCTTCCTGGAGGGAAATAAAAACGTCTGCGATCAACAGGGGCCGCAAACCCGGGTAGTAAAGTGAAGTCACTTAAACATTGTCAAAGACCGGGCCACCAATCCGGCTTGCTACCACTGCGTCATGGTATACACGCGTGGGTTTCAGGCGCTTCCACGGTGGGGAAGGACCTAAGGAAGGACATGCATATGCAGTTTTGAGGCTCCTGGCGCACTGAGGAGGACAATTATCTCCAAGCTGACTTTTAAGACTCTAATAAAATTTTAGATGGAATGGCATCTGCTTTCAATTTAATAATGATTCCTTGCGCAGCACTTGTAAACTTCCTGTTCCTACATCTTATTTACAAATAATAAGGGTGATAGAAAGAGAAACTAAAACTACCATTGAATAAGTTCATACACGTATGTGCTTGCCAAATGAGTTATTATTAGATTGAACTTCTTAAAATAAACATAGCATAAAAACTCTCATTTGTACAGTGTGTTCGTTTTAAAGCAGGTACGAGACAAAGTCATTATTTGAAACTTCTAATTCTATTATTTGAATTTATTGTTGAGTTCGGTCCATTGTTATAGTTGTTTTCGATATTCTGTACCCTTCTCCTATAACAACGGTAAAGGGCTGTTCAGACTGGGATTTAAGTGAGCTAACGGAGTCAGTTCTATCTGTCGACTAGCTCCGCTATGCGTGCAGTTCATATTTTCAACTCACTGTACTATGGGAAGAAACTGGCTTTAGAAATGGGTCGGCTAAGTCTGTTGTCTTCGTTAGCTTAGATAAATCTCAGTCTGAACGGTCCTTAACATTGGACAGAACTGAACGATAAAATAAAATAATAGAAATAAAAGACTCAAATAATGATTTTGTATCGTAGTTGTTTTAAAATGAAATCAACGTGCTTGAGCATTCTTCGCAAAAATCTGTTTTTCTGAAATGCTCACCATGGTCACGCGTAAGCACTTAGTGATACCTGATAAATAAGCTGTAGCAGTTGCTGATTAATTTTGGTTAAAGAAGAAAAGAATTATGTTTCCATTCATAAATATGTTTGGCCTTTCTTATTCTAAAAATAATATAAGTGTGGGGATTAAATTACTAAATTATTTCTTCCTCTTTTTTTAACTAACTATGTATTTCTGGCCCAATAACTAACTCACACTTGTCTCTGTGAATTTGAAGTTTCCTTCTTAACTCGGATATGCTCAAATACAAAATTTTATATGATTTTAGTATGCTTATGTTACGGACCATACTAAGTGCTCATTCTGGGTATTACATTATTCTAATTATTTCATTCCCTTAATTATGCATTTATTGTAGTTATTTTATTCCCTTAAATATACACAACTTAATGCACGATGTGAGACATTAGATAGACATGAAGGAATTTAGTATAGTGAAACCTTGATTCACGAATTTAAATCGTTCGTGGATGTCGTTCGTCATCCGAAATCTATGTAAACCGAAAGTAGTTTTCTTATAGAATATATATAAAATTAATTCATTTGTTCTTGAATCATACATGAACGCTACTTGAAATTAACTACAGTACATTGTCATAAGTTCATAATACAAAATCAACGCAAACAATTCAAACAAAAATGTAAACACAATATTATGCATACAAAACACATGAAAATTTCATTTTATTTTAATGAACCGTTATGAATGAAAGTGGACGGCATAAGTGGGAAGTGATGAGGAAGATCTGGATAAGTCCCCTTCTGCAAAAGCATCAAGTAACTGTCTCTCTGCAGTATCTTCTTTTATCGCTTCTTTGTCTCTTTGCATCATTCGATATTGCTTGAGACTCAACGTATCTGTTTCGCTCAAAATTTGTTCAAT